GAGTTTTCTTTTGGCTGTCTTGCTGCTTCCCAGCACCCTTAGACTCAGGTGTCTTTTTCGTAGAGGTTTTCCTGGGCGATAATCCGAAACTTTGAAAATGAGGCGCATCTAGATTTTAACTAGAATTTTCAGTTATAGATCTAGATCTGTGACTGAAAAATCATGGAACCTGCCGCGGAGAAAAACAATTCGTGCGCGGGATCTAATCGCGTATTTTAAACATTCTCCATTCGCTCATCGTAATGTTTGAACCAAGATGTTTCTACAAGGAGCAACTCTTCTTTTTGCTCTAGCTGAAGTTTGCAACAGGTCCAACCTTCTGGGTTCGGAGAATTCATCTCAACTGTTTCACCACACTGGTTGATTCGGACAAGTTCGCATGTAAAACAACTTTGAGTGATTTCCCGAGCGGAGCGTACTACTCCGATGCCTACAACCACGGACCTCGAGGAAAATTTTGATGTGAAGGGCTCACATAAATTCTAATTCTAATGTCTAAGAATTTTTCCGGCAGTCGTATAAAGGTGCTGCAACCAGTAAAATAGCCACTTGTCGCCCTGACCCCACTTACCTCATTGAAGCAACATTTTGCCAGCGACTTATAGCAGCGCACCGCGTTCGACAGGGCTACAAGACCAAAATGCCTTCAATTTTGTGTGTATGCAACACGGACATCCATCAAGTACGAATAGTTGTATCAAAGCGCCTTCAAGCAAAGATTCGTTGCGTTCGTCCTTGGCCGCGCCAAGAACCCTCTCGGTTTCGGTTTGACAACCTGCCGTGCCAAAGAAAAACGCCGAATGAGTATTCGAGTGTTGCCAAATTTCCTTTCTAAAATAATTAATTTTGACAAAAGCTGTTAATATTTTTCCTTGAAATTTTCGGACGCTTTAGAACAAATACGAACAAAATTCTTTTAAAAATCGAGAGAAAAATACGTCCTTGTTTTCCAGGAAATCGCGATTTGTCAAAGAAAAGATGGCAACGTCTATAAGATCATACGGCTTTTTTGTTCCTTAACACGGCGTGTGTGTACCTAATCAAACAAACGTATTCCCTTTTTCATTCACTTAAATTTGTTTCTTCTTTTTTTCTCTCTCTTTTTTTACGCAATTTTTTATAAAACACTTGGATGAACTGGACTACGTTTTGCAATTAAGAACTACAAATTTTGGCTGAGTTTAGAAACAACATACGTGCCATATAGTTTCTGTGTTTGCATACTTTTTTATACGGATTAGCGAGAAACAGTAGTTCCTAATTGCACAAAATAGTCCACTTGAATTAGAATCAGCTCAGCTGTATTTTGCAGTTTGCCAAATTTTCTACTATATTTTATTTTACCTTTACTATATCTTATTTTTTATTTTTTTTTTACGTTCAAAGGTGAAAGGCTTTGACTACGCACAAATTTCCTTTAAGAAAATAGGGGACAGCTCTTCTGCATCTCCTACATGGCGCTGCGAATTCTAAAACCACCACCTCTCTTCATTTAAATCTCCTATATAATTTTGCAAGTCGCATATCCTGGTTATAGGATGAGCAGGCATCGTAAACGCATATGAAATCTTAAATCAGCCGTTAAGCCCGATAATCAGGGTTATTAATTAGTAATTCAAATGAGTTACGTAATGAACTTCTACCGAAATAGGGCGTTTTGCGGGTTGCATACCTTGTGAGCATGGACACATTGAAAGCCGCAACGAGTTATTTCGGATTTCGCTCATTGACCTATACCTCAATCTCAGGTGTGAGCCTCGGCCGACCTCTGAGTGCTAATCAATTTTCATTGACAAGACGCGACTCAACGTTTCCTTCAATCACCTCTTGCTTTTCCACATTTTAACCGTTTTTCCTATTTGTTTTTCTTCTACAAATTTGGCTTGATTTTTGTTCACATTCGCTTGACCAATCGAGCAACTGATTTGAGAACGATACATAGTTTGATAAACCAACTAAACAAACGGCTCAACATGTTATTTCTGAATTGCCAACAATTCTTTCTACAATTTTGACTCGATTTTTGTTCACATTCGCTTGACCAATCGAGCAACTGATTTGAGAACGATACATAGTTTGATAAACCAACTAAACAAATGGCTCAACATGTTATTTCTGAATTGCCAACACTTCTTTCTACAATTTTGACTCGATTTTTGTTCACATTCGCTTGACCAATCGAGCAACTGATTTGAGAACGATACATATAGTTTGATAAACCAACTAAACAAACGGCTCAACATGTTATTTCTGAATTGCCAACAAAAAGATAAAACGGGTGTCGCTGGATAAGGCAATTTTTCCCTTTGCCGTAATGCAAAGAGAGATTTGTCGAGATTTGAACCTGCGGTTCGATTGTTGAATCGACATCGAATGACAAAGCATTGTTAAGGTAGGGATTCACAGAGTTGCCACAGTTAGGAAGAACCGGGAAATGTCAGGGAAAATGACGAAAATGTCAGGGAAAATTTGTTAAATCATATTCATTTGCTTTCCAGAATGGGTTTGAGATTTTGAACAAGAAATTTTGCCTGAAAACTATTTTCAATTATGCCTTCTTAATCATCCGTCACATCTTCAATTGTCAGGGGATTTCACCAAAATGTGACAGGGAAATGTCGGCTAGGGAATTTCATTTTCTAAATTCTTTGGCGACCCTGAATGATTTATCGATCAGAATCATTCGGTAACGATTCAAGAATCGACCCGCAGGTCCATATTACGGGACTTTACTTCATTTTATTGAGTGTTCTGATTAGAATAATGGCAGTGGAAATCTTTGACGCGATCTTATCTAGATGATTCGGTTCATTTTCCGAACTTCTTAGCGGCCAAGGCTGAGCTTGGTGTTCCGACTGTTTCGGTTAATCGGAACTTGCGGAACCGGTTGAGTAATCGTGCCAACTTGCCATGGTGGCAACTCGCTAAATTCTCTTCTCCCAAGGCAAGCTGCTGTTCCTTTCTATTTCAAAAACACAACCGCGTCAGTTAGCGCCCGTGGTAGGGTCGGAACACTGTTTAATCAGTATGTCGCCTAGCCTTTCGAGAGACTTCCTACTACATGCACACTAGGCTCGAACCTAAAAGTGGTAGAAAACTGAAATCATGATCATCCATGGTGTTTTTACACGGCAGAGTTGCGTTACTACCATTACTGAGAAACCTGAATTGGACGGAGTTAAACAGAAAGGAACCAAGCCACATCGGGATCAAACCGAGAAAAAGAGGCTTAAAGTTTAGCTCCTGCATAAGACTCAATGTAAAAGTTAATCTTCAAGTTCAATTTCTGCAAAATTTGTTCCAACAAAAACTTTGAATTTTTGGCGATAGATAGTAGAAAGTGGTTGAGTTCAAGTTCAAAACCACTCATAACTCAATTTTTTCCAAAATGTGGGTTGGTTCCTTTCTGCTTAACTCAGTCCAATTGTGGGTAGATCTCATTACTTACTGCAACCCTACAGTATTCAACAAGCACATCAATCAGTCTGTGGGTCCTTGTTAAGGCCCGTATAAAACACAAAAAGAGACCGATAATGTTCAAATCATGATACATACATACATATAATTCGCTTTTACAGCGCGCCTGGGCGCTCTGCGACACCTAATCGTCATTCTTGTCTATCAATCCAGAGGTCGTCTGGTAAATTGCATCTTGTAATTTCATCTTGAATGCCACCTTTCCATTTTGCTGGGCGTTCCCTACGTCTCCTCCATGGAGGAACCCAATCTGGTGCCTTCCTAGGCAATCTGCAATTCGTTGAACAGGACCATACCGGACAAGCTGTTTGGTCATGCATTCCGTAAAATGTAGACCTTCAATAAGCGGAAAAATCGTTAAGTTGAGAAAATTCAGGGTGGGCCCTAAAACAACCCTTATCGATATCCCTCCTTCATGCCGTCATTTACAGACGATCCCGAAGCACAACTGACCCACGACACAATCCAGCGACAAGGTCGTGAAGGAGGGCAGGGTGGCGAAGGAGGAGGAATCGGCAATTGGGCATGCGTCGCGTCGCACAGTGGCTCGAGTTAATCAGAAAGGTCGGACATGAAATTTTTGACTAAAACTGCTAGTGGTGTTTATTTCGTCACATTTTACATTTCAAGGAGTGCTGAAAGAAGAAAATTTCACGATGGAACCAATGAAACCACTTTTAGATCCTTTAAGTTTCGTATACACGGAGTTATAAGCTTTTAAAGTTTCCAAATTCAGGGTGTCTACAAGTCCGGAAATAGTACTGATTTTTTAAAGGCGGTCCGGTAGTACTGTAAAAGTGCGGAAATTGCGCAAGTAGGCCCGGAATTTTTTCATTTTTCGTCATTTTTGTCGCAATTTGAGCGGGAAATTTAAATTTTTTAAATTTCTCGAATTCCGTCAATTGGCGGTACTGAAAAAGTACTGCATTTTCCTGTTGAGGATGTACTGAATTTCTTGGGAATGTACTGAAAAAGCACTGATTTTTGGCCAGCCTGTTTTAGTAGACACCCTGAAATTCGTCGTTTCCCTCACGAAAGAACGTAACTATATTTCAATGTTGCCAAATTTCCCCTCACAAATTGCATTTTTACCAGGAGAATCTTGGGAATTTCTAATTGAAAATTTAACCGATTTCTTTCCCGATCCCACGCGAAAATCAGACAAATTTTGAACAACAATTTTACAGGTACACTCTTGAAACAAAATTGAATTGTTTGAGCCAATTTTGCAACCATGGAATGGAGTTACGTTTCTTCGACCTGAAAACGACGAATTGTGTCCGCCTTCTCCTATTGACTGGATCCACTGTGCGTCGGGTCGGGGGCACCTGGGATTCGGCCGCTCGCGGGAGTCGGTGGCGCGGGGCAGGGTCAAAAGTTCAGCTGGAGCTGTAACCTTCCAGGTCGCTCTCAATGACGTTGGCCGGCGACGTCGGGGGAGGGGGTGGCTCGGCCGCGCGCGTCGCGACGCGTCACGGCGTGGCGTCACAGCGGCTCCTTCTCGCGGGCGACAAGCGAGCGCGGGCTCGAATCAGTCAGAACCGGCAGTTCGCGTCGATACCTCCGGTGCATCCAACCGAGATCCCCCCTCCTCCGCGCTTGCTGCCCCGCGAATTTCCCTCCAGTTGAGTGCACGCTCTTGTTCCTTCTCGCCCCGCCTGCGAGGTGTTCTTCTGGATTGTCGTCAACCTCTAGGTAGGTTTCCCATCGCTTTTCCCTGGGATCTCAGCTTCCGCTACACTGGTAAAGAAAAGTTACGGGCTGAACTACTGACATACCGTCCGTTCCGGGTTCAGAGGCCGAAACTTCCAGGTGCTGAAGCCGCTGCTTCCGTTGCTCCGGGTTCTACGCCCGGAACTTTCGGCCTCTGAGCCCGGAACGCGGACGGTATATCTATACTGCCGTACGGGGGAAAGCTCAACTTCGGCGATTTCGAGTTCTCATTGGGAAATGCTTTCTTGAAGCATCGGAAGCAAGCTACGTGCGGTTTTAGTTTATTTTTCTCATCACCAAGGGCGATAGCTGCACCTTTCTCTGTGTGCATGTCGGAATTCCAAACCTAAAGTCAACCTAAAATTCTTAACCTAATACTTAAGCATTTTTGTCTTGGAACTTCAAAACGTCACACTGAATAAAAAACTCCGGCTGTGGAAGCCGTACTTCCGGGCTATTTAGACATACCGTTGGTGTTTCGGGCTTAGAGGTCGAAAGCTCCAAGCGTAGCGCTCGGAGTAATCGAAGCTACGGTTCCAGTACCCGGAACTTTTGGCGTCCAAGCGCGTAACTTTTTTTTCAGTGCATATCTCCTTCGATTTTTGAGCTTTTCGGGTCAAACTTGCGTCATAATGTCTAAATTTTCTTCCTTTATGCAGTAGTGCCAATCACTCAATTTTGAATTTCTGGATAAATACGTCCCTTTTCACAGATTGCGCGTCACAAATATCTTGGGTATCCCTTATCAGTGTGGTAAATAATCGATTATTTAGGTGTTCACCTTCTATTGATAATTTTCCATAGGCTTAAATGACAGATCAATCGATGTATCGCAAAGTACACTACGCACAGCTTGGCAGTTAGTTCCACTACATCCTTTTTTTGATCGGTAAACAGGGCTCTCATGTTTGCAACCAACTGACCAGTTTGGCATAAAACTCTGCAACCAAGTCTAGGTGCGGTTATTTTTGGTAATTCTCAGTATGATTAGATCGACCTGCTTGGAGGGTATCATGTAACCTTTTGATCCGGTTTAGTTTATCCGTCTTTATTTACTCCGAAAGGAAAAGGGTCATTTATTCAACGCATATACCTCAATGCGTGACCTTGCAATATCAAAAAAGAACTTCAGGTGGAAGTACCTTCTTAGTATGTTGTACATTTGGCGTAAGTAAAGTTTTGATCGCCGCACTCATTGTTCTCGCGTGTCGAGGTGTAGAAACAAGTGACATGACACGCGTTACTGTCCCGTTTCTTAATTTATCATTATTTTTGGAATTTTCCACTCGCCAAATAGTTTTATCATTTTAAAAAACTGATTCATCTGCGAATTTAGAAAATCCAGTCTGGAGTTTTCCCATGACTTGTCTTACCAAAATTCCCATTATTAATTTTTAAAAAATCCTTACAGAAGCGATCGACATGAAGCTCTTGAAGAGTTCATAAGTGGTCGTGATCACGGACTGAGGTGAATTTCTTTATTCTATTTTAATACATAAATATCCGGCAGTATGGATGTCCGACAGTGGTAGCACGGCGAAAGACGATTTTCGCATTTAGAGAGCAAAAGAAGACAAAAGAATCTGCTTTCAATATCTTTCACTCTTAAATTTTAAGTAGTTGTTAATTGATTTATATTATTCGGTATCTCACTTGAAGATAATATGTCCTGATCTCACATCCTTCAAATGGTTCATCGCGCGATTTTCTTAGCTCTATTTTTGCTGTGTGATTTCATTGCAAATTTAATGCATTCGGCCACTTCACCTGTGATGTTTAATTTTTTCTGATAAAGAAACATTGATCAGAACTTACTGCAGAGTACACCTCTTATCTCCTCTCGATGGAAGGGGGAGAGGAATGTCATTGGTTTTGATGTCTCAAAGCAACCGGCCTTGCGTAATTATTAGACGTAATTCACCATAATTCAATTTTAGGACAAAACCTCTAATTTGGGAGAAAAGCTTTCTCCGAGCGAACGAACCGAAAAAAATCTAACTTTTAGGTGTTTCATTTTCTCTGATAAGGATATATTGATAACAAATGACTGTGACTCCTCGCCGCTTTGTAATTAATTTTTTTATTGGTTTATTCTATGTAGCGTAGAATAATGTTTCTGCCTAACATGTACTTACAAGAAGGTTCTTCTTCAACCAAAAATAGACTGTTTTCTCTAAAATCTTTCGTCGTAGGTCTTAATAGATACGTAATTTTTACGTCACATAATCTTTTTTTTTTTTTTTCTACTGTTTCTGTAGTTCGCCAGGAAGTCTGCAACGTTGCTAACGGAGAAACTTGGTCAGAAGCTAATCCGGCAATTTGGCAACACTGGGTTTCCTCCACTCAAACCCATGTTAAATAATCGATTCTTGTCTGAGCACCTGGTCCCTCCAAGAATCGATAAATTTTCATGGGTTTAAAAGGAGAAAAACAATGTTGAGAATTTGCTGGATCCGCCAGTGAACTTGGTTTTGCGCTGTAGTCATTGATTTAGTCTATTTTGAGCGGAATCGGTTCGGAATTGGATCGTTTATGGAGGCTTTTAGACCACTATTTTACCCGGTCACTCTCTGTATAGCGAGTCCCTCGCACGGAGTTTCACTTTCTGTAGATCAGTCTACTCCCGCCCCCGTCACAAGTTTCCGAACCAAATTCCTGAACAACGCTGTTGTCCTTAGGAAAAACGCCGCATGAACATTCGAGAGTTGCCAAATTTCTCCGCTTAAAACATGTATTTTTGAGGGAAGTTACGCATATTTTTCCGTGAAACTTTCGAATATGTAAGATCAAATGGACGTATTCATGCAAAATGTAACTATGTGCAAGTGGAAATATAGGGTGTGCCCGTTAGTAGTCGGGCCATAAGAATGAAGGGGATCTTAAATGCACCGGTGACGCCAGCGGCAACGACGAGAGAAACTACGATCAACGACACGGTCTTTAGCTCATGAGCCCTGTCCACAAGGCTCTAGATATGTGCCCACGGTTCACGAGTTAGCGCTCAGTTCCTTTGGATTTAATCGAAAATCCCGCTTTTCCGTTTTCTCAAAAGGAACTATACCCCTTTTTTACATCGTTTCCTATCCAGCTTCCCCAAGCACACCCCATCTTTCCACTTGCACATAGTTCCTTTTAGCATAAATACGTCCAAATTGCGAGCAAAATTATCTGAATACTTGGAAAAAAATATTCAAAATTTCTCTACACTGGAAAAAAAACCACCTTGGATCTAGAGTCCAGACTCTTAAAAACATCGACAAGAAAAAATACTCTTGATTCGATCGGATTTTTGCTTAAATCAAGAACCAAGCCCCTTAATTTGAGCGGATTTCCTTTTGATTTAAGCTTAAATCTGATTGAATCAAGAGTATTTGTTCTTGTCAATGTTTTCAAGAGTCTTGACTCCAGATCCAATTGGTTTTTTTTTACCAGTGCACTTCCTTTTAGCCTAAATACGTCCAAATTACGAGCAAAATTATCTGAATACTCGGGAAAAAATATTCAAAATTTCTCCAGTTAATCTGGCTTTTAGTAAAGGAAAGCTGGCAACATAAATACGTCCAAATTGCGAGCAAATTTATCTGAATACTTGGAAAAAAATATTCAAAATTTCTCCAGTTAATCTGGCTTTTAGTAAAGGAAAGCTGGCAACATAAATACGTCCATATTGCGAGCAAATTTATCTGAATACTTGGAAAAAAATGTTCAACATTTCTCCAGTTAATTCGGCTTTTAGTAAAGGAAGGCTGGCAACATCAAAGGCTCATACGGCGTTTTTCCCAAGCACGGCGGAACGGCTCCGAATCCGAAAAATTCCGGGGTAATCGGAGCAGTTTTTTCCCGGCGCTCGAATAAAACTGGTCGGCGCTGAGACTGGTCCCGGCGCGGGGCGCGGAACCGGTTCCTCCGAAACGGAACGGTCGCGCACTCGGGAGACAAGACAGCCGAGTAGGTGACCTTTCCTCGGAGCTTTTCCAGAGCCGCGGAGCTTCGAAAGCTCCGGGTGACGTCACAGCTCCGATGACGCGGGCCGCGAGTCCGAGGAACGGATCGGATCGGATGGCGGAAGGTCGTCGGTAGGTCGTTTCAGGCGAATTTTCATCCACCTTCGCGGATCGCGGTTATGACCGGTCGCGCTGAAAGTTATCGCTCACGATAATATTTTTCTCGCTCCCCGCCCGGAGCCGATTCTGCCTATTGCAGCTCGATAGAGTTTATTCACGTCTGCTTGCCGCACTGTACACCGTAAATTATTTTTTCCCTCGTCTCGCTTGTTTGTTTTTTTTTCCTCTTTTCGCCGGATTGTTTTTCGATGCCGCTCTAGACCGGGAAGGTCGTTCGTGTCATTTATACTCGATTTGTGATCATGCATGGTCCGGTAGCGATGCCGTGCCGCACAGGGGAACGAGTCAGTAGGAGAGGTCGGACGAAATTTGGAAACTTTAAAAGTTTATAACTCCGTTTATAAAAAATTCTGAGGTTCTAAAAGTGGCTCCATCGGTTTCCTCGTAAAATTTTCTTCAACAGGGTGTCAGCATCAGGATTTTCCCGATTCTATCAGGATTTGAGATCAATCAGGATTTAATCCCGATTTAATCAGGATTTGAGGAAAAATCGGTCGTAAAATCAGGATATGAGAAAAATCGGCTGTCCGATTGGATTTTTTTATGCTTTTGCATACGCTCATGCAATTTAATTTTTATAATTTTTCTCCGCTAAAAATCAGGATTTGATCAGGATTTGGAAAAATTATGAAATCCGGATTTAGCGGTCGAAAATCAGGAAAAATCAGGATTTCATGAGGATTTCCCAAGATTAGACACCGTGTTTAAGAAGCATCACTTGAAATTTAAAATCTGACGAAATAAACATCAAAATTTGCAGTTTTAGTCCAAAAATTTCATGTCCGATTCTCCAATTGACTCGGTCCACTGTTTGCCAAGGGAAAAATAAATTTTTATAGGAAGACTGTAACGTCGCAAAAGGAGATGTAAGTACAGTAGAGTCTCGAATATCCGCGTTGATCGGAATCTGAGCGGAGCTTCCGCGGATAAGCAGAATTCGCGGATAATCCAAAACCAAGCAGTTCGGTCAGGCGAAGGGATTGAAAAGGTCACATTTTAAAAGTATCTATCGAAAAAATTGTCAAATAATTTACAGACATGTAATTAATGGTTAAAAACGAATAAATTTTACTGCAAAGAAGTTATTTTGCCAAACATCATTTCTGGAAGGAATTTTTTACTGAGGTTGACGCCGTAAAATTGTGGTGTTTTTGAGCCAAATCCACCGAAAAACCCGCGGATAATCGAGACTGCTGTACCTCAACGTGTAGATCAAAACTGGGAGCATCCACCCAAGAAGTTTTCCCGATCACTACAATAATTTTCCATAGAATTCACGGGGCAACATAGGTTGACTGCCACTTTGAACTTTTTTGGAATGACTGAAATAGCAAGGAGGAGTGAGAAAAATGAACGTGGTCGGATCGCACTGCATTTATAAAACGAAATGGAGGGAATAATGATTCTTTCCTTTCTTCTCATTTTTTTGTGGTCAGAGGTGGATCCAGCAATTTGGCAACACTGGATTTCCTCCATTTAACCTATGCTAAATAATCGATTCTTGTCGGAGCACCTAGCCCCTCCAAGAATCGATACATTTCCATAGGTTTAAATGGAGAAAGACAATGTTGCCAATTTGCTGGATCCGCCAATGTTTGTGGCAAAGCTGGAAAAAGCTAATAATTGTTTTCTTGTTTGTTTGTTGTAGAGCTGAAATGTCGGCAAAAGCGATCAGTGAAGCGACTGGTAAAGATATAATCAATCGGAACCTAGCTGCAGGCACAGCAGCAGCCAAATGCAAATTTGCAGCAATACATGAATCCTCCAGTTGGGATGATGTCGTAGGCAAGGAGCCATGGCTACAAAGCTCAGTAAGTATCTTTGATTTGTCATACTTAGCTTAGTGGCCACCCTTTTAGCTATTTTCAAACAATATATGTGTGCTAGACTGAGTTGTAGGAGTGACTTATATGTACCGATGTGTATATGTGGCCAAGTTCTGAGTATACGTCTCAGCAGCTTGAAAAAGTTCAATTCCTATGGTTGAAGTCGGAAAATGTGTGTCTTTGTTGCTTTAAAATCCTCGAGTATTTTTATGAGAAAACGAACCTCGGTTTTGCCTTCCAATTGTCTGTGAATATTGTTGAATAAGTGAAATTATTCATAAAAAGTCCAAGAAAGAACCGTTGTTAGTTTCCTCATATAAAAGTAAAACATGGCTGAGATCTGCAACGTTGCAATTGGAGGTGGACCTTTTTTTACCACTGCCATCGATTTGCAGATTAAAGCTAAGTAAGTGAATGAATATGAGTTTTGATGAGGTTTAATGTCTAGATCTTGCAGTAGCAGGGACATAGCAACTTAAGGGAAATGGTTACTTTTTCTGATAAGTTAATGTAATTTTTTTTTTCTGATAGAATAAATTTAGTAATTGAATCGGTTAATGCTGCCCTTTATCTGATGCACTCTGGAGTATAGACTTCTTAATGGAGCTCAAGATACATCAGAAAATAGACAAGTTCGGCTTCAGCATAGACTGATACAATTGACGCATCCAAAAATAAAGAGATTTAAGTTCCTTAATTAACTTCTGACAAGGGAAGAACGTCATCGAACCGAGAGAAATTCAATTTGACAGTAGACAAACTTCATAGTCAAAAGTGATGAAGATTACTTTCATCAACAAATAGCTGAAAAATTATCAATTAATTTTTCGCTAACTAAAAAACGTAGATATTTCAGACAAAAATTACGCTGCAGTGATGATCACTGAAGCTAAGGATAATTGACCTTTTTCTTAAATCATTTTTTTTTAATCAAGTAACTTATTTTCTTCACTTTAACAAGCTGTTACTTTCCTCGAGAGTAAAATTTATAACTGCCTCTGTAAAATGCATATCACCTCCTTTTATGAACATTTTTTTTAATAATCTATTTTTGCTTTTTGCAGCCTCTAGTTGCTAAGCCCGACCAGTTAATCAAAAGGAGAGGAAAATTAGGATTGATCAAAGTAAACACTGACTTCAAAGGAGCAAAATCATGGATCCAAGAAAGAATGGGCAAAGATCAACAGGTAATTGTCTCCTTTTAACTTATCTTTCTGTACTGATGCTTTTTTCATACCAAAAAGTTGTATACATCAACAACAGAATTTAATAGAGAGAGGACTGGGGGTTGATGTGAAAGGGAAGATCCTTCTTCTCTTTGCCTCAAAAGTAAGAAAATGAATACGGAGAAAAATGTGAAAAACACAATTTTCTAGTTCTGGGTCTTTGAATTAAAAGACCGTGGTCATCCCGCTGTTTGGGGTGGCTTGATTTGCCCTTTTGTTCTTTTAGTAAAATTTTATTTAATGATTGAGAGAATTTTCTCTAAAAAATAATGAAATTACTTAAATCAATGAGGAAAGAAAAGAAAGAAAAAATATCTAAAAGAAAAAGAAAACATCATTGTTAAGTTTGAATTAATTTGATTAACTGCAATTTTGGTTCCTCTTCTCAAAAAGGTTGCTTCTTTTTCCTTCCCTCTATTATTTTTCTGATTATTAATGACCTCATTTATGTTTTTGTACTTTGCAGATCGGAAAAGCCACCGGAAAACTCCGTAGTTTCATTATTGAGCCTTTCATTCCTCACAAAGATGTAAGTTTCTCTCATGTTATGCTTTATTGCTTTCTCCCATGAAAGTTTCGAACAATCCAGTTCATTAATTTGTTTTTTCTCGCATAACTTGTAATGGAATTTCCAATGCGTTTGCCATTCATTTGATCATATTCTAATTGTTTACCAATTTTTAAGTCATCGATGGTTGTAGAAGTAAATTATCACTTTAGAATGTATCAAAATTAGATTTAAAAATTCTATGCCTTCATGTAGAGATCATTGAGTCGTGGATTGGGATCTGCTCACTAACATGTAGTGTACTGAGTTTTCGCTTTGTCCTCTAAGCGATCAGAACTAATTTGATCTTGTTTCCATATCATCAAAAACTCATAATCAAATCTGTAAATATGATAATGCAAACTAGTTTCGAGATTACTTCGTAGATCACCACAATTATTGTGAAAAATGCAGTAACTAAAACTTGGCAAAAATAATTGGAAAAGTTGAAGAGTTACACACCACTCAATAAATATTGATTGAACTTATAAATCAACAATTACTCTCACCATTCTTCCATGGAGCAATGTTAAAGTCAGAGCCACCAATTTACCGGAAAGAGTACTCTATGAAACTGAGAGTATTGTAAATGCTTGAAACAGCTGCCTAAGTTGTAAAAATGAAAGATCCTTTATCCTGTATCTGGAGCTGAATTTGTCGATTGAAAGCATTCCTTCAAGTTCTTAAGAGGATTAATTTTCATTCCCATTATTTTTCTAGGATGAAGAGGCATACGTTTGTATTTACTCTCATCGGTTTGCTGACACCATCCTCTTCCATCATCAAGGAGGAGTTGATATCGGTGATGTAGATGCTAAGGCTCTCAAATTAGATGTACCTGTTGGAAAATCGATCACGGCTGATGAAATCCAAAAGCACCTTCTAAAAAATGTTGTTCCTGCAAAACAAAAGTAATTTTCATTTTCAGATTTATTTTTCTCCACATTTTGTGAATTATCTTGAAGTATTCTAATGAAATTTTACTCCTGAAGACAATTTTCCGTGGAGAAATCATACTCCACTGATGATCCGTAAAAATAACATTTTGTTCCAAGTCTGTATATTCCTAAAGAAAATCAATTATTTTCGAATATTTTATTCAAAATGCATTAAGAGGAAGTATAAGAATTCTTTTTGGAAGAAATTTTTGAATTCTCCATCAAATAGGCCACTGGGTGAGTGCTTTGTTTAGAGATGTTCTGAGTCCCCTAAATGTCAAAGGTTCCAGAAAATTTAAAAGATAGAGCAGTGAAGAGTTATTAAGTGATAAATTCTGACAGGTCTGCAAGTCACATTCAATTGATGTATTGAAGAGTGCCTTCCTGATATTATTCAAAACCACCACTTTCTCTCTGCGAAGAATACTTTGGGTACTAGAACAATCATTTGAACTTTGTTTGATCCGTTTTGTTTGATTTCATCTTGTTCATTGTAAAAGCGGGAAGTTCATCCAAAATGTCTTCTTGTTTTTTATTTTTATTTCATTTGATTTCACGATCAATATTGATTGCACTGAAGCATTGATTGTCATGACTTCTTTTCTCTTTGTTTCTGCAGGATGGTCGCAACTTTTGTTGCCGCCTTATTCAAAATGTACCAGGATTTATACTTCACATATCTGGAAATCAATCCATTGGTTGTGACGAATGACACAATTTACATCCTAGATTTAGCAGCCAAGCTTGATGCCACTGCTGATTTCATTTGTAGAGCATCCTGGGGTAGCGTAGTGTATCCACCTCCCTTCGGACGAGATGCTTACCCTGAAGAAGCTTACATCGCAGATTTAGATTCCAAAAGTGGTGCTTCCCTCAAGGTGTGTATCTGTTTCACTAACATCTCGAACAACAATGTTGCAACTCTACTCCAGATATCGAAGGCTAAGGAATGATACCGCTTAACTGACAATTTTGGTCAAAAAGAGTTAGCAACTTTGCCGCAATCTACAGTATTACATACGCAAGTTGATGTTTTTAATTTTTTCGGATTCCGCATGGGAGTATTGCCGCTGTAATTTATTAAAAAAAAGAAAAAAATGAAAAAAAAATTCAAACCTAATCTTTAAGTTACAAAAATTGCACAGCTTCTGCATCGTCCTGTAAAATCGTCAGTTTGCAGATGAGTAGTATTGTTCCTCAGTTCTTGATGTAGCATTTTGCTCTTTTTAATGAAAACCTCATCACTATCATGCCACATTTTTTCAGTTAGAATTCTCAATGGTAAGACACTGAAATGCTTGAAGTATGAAGTATGTATGACTGTTTGTTTGTTTTCTTATACTCAACAGAGTGTTATATGGGGAAGAATTAAAATAGTTAATGAAGCATTAGGTACAGCGTTTTTCCTTTGGACGACAGTTTTCATCTTCCAAAGCAATGTTTGATATGGAAAGTTGACTGTTGCACACTATCGTTTTTGTTTTTTGCAAAATAAGAAAATATATCCCAAGCCGCAATTTGAATTGAGCAAAGGAAGTTTTTTTTTTTTGGCTTACGAGGCTAACAAGAGCATATCAAAAGTGTTCGCTAAAAACCCGCAGCAATATTTGTGTCATGTTTTATGTGTAACTGTTTCTGCTGCTGACAGAAATCAGAGTGCGGGTCATTGTCTGGGGTCTGCATACTCCTCATATACCTTGAATATTTCATAAGTTACTTCTTTTCACTCAATTCACCCCAGGTTTCCTCAATGCAATGTATCGCCAAAATGTCAATGTTTGTCTACTTAAAACCTAATTCTTCTTCTGTTCATAGCTAACTATTTTAAACAAGAAAGGCCGTATCTGGACCATGGTTGCTGGTGGTGGAGCTTCCGTAGTCTACAGTGACACAATTTGTGATCTTGGCGGCGCTAGTGAATTAGCTAACTATGGAGAATACAGTGGAGCCCCATCAGAACAACAAACCTATGAATACGCCAAAACAATCCTGTCCTTGATGACACAGGAAAAACACCCGCAAGGGAAAGTAAGTCTGGTGGCCATTTTTTTTTGTTCCGCTTTTTTTGAACCCTACAAAAATTGAAACGTAGCCCCTGAAGCAAAATTCTCGATGCCTTAAAGATTTTTATAAATCTAACGGATTTCTGTTCTTGGATTCACAGCAGGCCATGTAGCCTTGAAAATTTCTGCTTCTGTGGACTAATGAAACATAAAATTGTAAAAGCGGTGTTAGTAGATAAATGACATGTTGTAGATCCGTGAATGGTGTAACTGTTTCCAGCTCAAGTGATGCTATTTGTAGTCTGGATGAAAAAAAATTCTAAGATGTATCAAATTCTGTTGTGAAAATCAATGTTATGGCTTGAAAAGTGCCTTTTCAAGTAAACTTTCATATTTTTTTTAGAATGTCTACCTTCTTAAAAAAATTTCTTTGTAGTTTCATTTCTTCATTTCTAGTCAAATTTCAAATTTCCAAATTGCTTTTTTTCAAAACATGATTTACAGTGAAGAAAAGGTATTGCCATGCATTCAAAATATGAAATGACATTGTATCAAACCAAAACAGACCAATATTCATAATGGTTAGCTAGATAATTAGCAATAAATAAGCACGGTTGGTAATGAGTTTTCTTTTTTCCTCAGGTCCTTATCACTGGAGGAGGTATTGCCAACTTCACTAATGTTGCAGCTACATTCAAGGGTATTGTGACTGCTTTAACAGAATTCCAGTCAAAACTCATTGAACACAACATATCAATTTATGTCCGAAGAGCAGGTCCTAACTACCAAGAAGGTCTCAGGTAAGTTATTTGCCTAGTAAATAAGTAATCATTACATTTTGCATGAAAATCATCCAAAAATCAAAATCATCTGCATGTTATATGGCAAGGAATGAGCAAAAGAACATCAGTTGTTCATATATTTTGTGTATTGTAAATATCAGTCACAACGTTTAACACGGCTGACACTTTTTTTCCGTTACAGTGTTACCAAGTTTTAGTGGATGGAGTCTACTTTATTGCAAAGTTTTTTTTTGTATAATTTGACAAGTATTTTTCCAAGTATGTTTGACATTTATTATGGAAAGGTTCCAACTCTGATAAATAAAATTTTTCAGGAGACAAGAAAAACTGCACAGGAGGTGAGAAAGGATTACTTTTCTGTCAACAACTCGATTTAAAAAAAAAATCCCTCTTGACGTTTTTTTTTAAATAAACGCTTCAATTGTGTCACAATATTTGATGCATGGATTTAAACTACCCCTGAGAGACGTCTTATTATTTTAACCAGAATTGCAACAGGAATTCTAACTTCTCTTTTCTCTACTGCTCTCTTATTTATTGTCCGGAAGTTACATCAATGAAAAACGAAAAGACAGTCACTGATCACATTATCAATTCCATCGACTCTTTACTCATAAGCTATTTTTCTTCATATTCAGGATCATCAGAGAAGTTGGACAAACTTTAGGAATTCCCTTGTTTGTTTTTGGACCGGAAACACACATGACTGCAATCGTCGGTATGGCTCTTGGCAAGAAACCCATCCCAAAAGTAACCGAACAAGAATTCGCCACTGCCAATTTTTTGTTACCAGGAGGACAGAGTGAGGTAAAAATATTAATCCAAACTTTAACTTACATACTTCATCACCAAGGCTCTGTTAATCCCTGATGTAGGATAATTTCCTACCACAAATTCATTTTGATCTTCTTTGCAAATGAATTTTAAAAGAAATTGGCTACAGCTTTAAAAAGATTTAATTTTTAAAATGAATTAAGAATAATTTATCTCTTTCAGTAATCAGGAGACTAAGTGGTGCAAGTTACTTTTTAAATTGCTTTTTTTTTTTAAGATGATTGTAAAAGTTTCAATGCTTACCTCGGAACTTATTGGTTAGTGTAACTTCTCGCATGCCTTACGTATCTTCATAAAAATATTTTAAGGTCTAAATAATAATATGTAACTGGTGACCAGCAAGAACTCCATGACGGAAGAATACCCATTTCATGTAGGAGCAAGATGACTGGATGGTATTTTGCTATTGAATGGGTTCGCAGACCACTTTATTCAAGACTGTCAAAGACCTTAAGTTAATAAAAATATTGTAGCATATTATGTGAGTTCTTTTAAGTGAAAGCAACCAAAGTGCTAATCACTTCAGTGAAAAAATATGTATATCTGAAATAATGAGCTTGAATGTTAAAGAGTCCTGTTTTCCACACCAAATCACCGAGCTCACTACTTTAAATGTGAGGTTTTTAGCAACACTAGTTCTCCCAAGAAAACTGTCTCTTACTGTCTTTAGTTTGTTTTCTCAAAGTATCTCTAATAATAACTTTTCCATTCCAGAACAAACCTAGTACCTTAAGCCGCCAAGACTCAGCAACTCTCAACAGTTCATCGCCCTCAACACCACCTGTCTCATGTAGCTTGAGCCCCAGCAAACCTCTATTCACTAACAAAACGAAAGCCATCGTTTGGGGTATGCAAACTCGAGCGGTTCAGGTAGGTCACTTGCACCCCTCTTTTTTATTTTTAGCTCTTCATAATTTAGAATTAGAATCAATTTGTACTGTACTTGATTACAGTAAGACCTCAATTGATAGGATTGCGATTTTACGGATCGAACCTTTTGTTCTGTGAAATTCAATAAATCAAGGTCTTACCGCAGCATTAATCTGAAGCACCATTCATAAGGCGCTGTACGTTTTCCCTTCAAAATAATTGTAATTGATCACTAGACAAGATCAGAAACGAGCATCATGATTTAAGTTTTCTCATCAAAATGTTACATGGAGCACAGACACATCCGCGTCTTGTTGAATCACCTTGGTCGTTGAAACAATTTAGGCATTCTTTAATATAAAATAATTTTACCATTGGACTAAATTCATACAAAATTTGATGTATATTTCAAATTTGACCTCAGCAAACAGCAAAGTAGAGAATTCATTTTTTTGCTAAGCAGCAAATGATACTCATGGTTCTTTCGGATTTTTTGCACATATTTTTTTTGCTCATTTTTTTATTCTTTCTCCCTAGGCTTATTATCTAGGCTTATATTGTTGTTTTTGTAAACTAAACAAATCAACAATGCCACAAAAAAAAAATGTGAAAACTCGTATCTGGTTTTTATCTAGTCTTTGCTTTTTTTCTTATTAACAGAGTATGCTTGATTTCGACTTTGTTTGTCGGAGGCCTGAACCATCTGTAGCATGTATTGTTTATCCTTTCACTGGTGACCACAAGCTCAAATTCTACTGGGGCCACAAAGAAGTCCTCATTCCAGGTAAGCATAAAATCATTTCAACAGTGCTTATTTTGGAATAGATACTCTGCCAGCATTCAACTTTCATAGTTGAGTTGTTACAGAACTCCGACTGCAGAAGCAAAACGAGAGCAAATTCTCAATGTTTGTTTTCTCATAAAAGAAACTAGAACTATCTAATATGGTTTGTTAAATTTTTCACTTTCTCTGTTATTTCTAATGTTGAAATTTTACAGATATGGTTTGAAAATTGCTATCATGAGCCAGCATTTTTTGTATTATATCGTTTGGTTATCGGAAGAAGACATAGACTGTGAAAAGTTCGAAATCATCCCAGTCAATGAGGAGTCATTCAAATTTAACCCTTGAACAAAGCTTACCTAGATTTTCAGCATTTGAGCTAGAAATTTGTAGCGGTGTACCTTTCTGTAGAATTGAATTGAATGACTTAAAAATTCGTTTTTCTTTTTTCAGTCTACAAAAAAATGGAAGATGCCATGAACAAACATAAAACAGCTGATGTAATGGTCAACTTTGCTTCATTGCGATCAGCTTATGACAGTACTGTAGAAACTCTTAGCTTCCCTCAAGTGAGTAACACTTTCTTTAATATTTTTGCCTCTTCTTTTTGTGCCCAGAGTTTACCCACACTAATGGACCACTAGACAAGGTACGAATTTGAGCATTCTAATACATGTTTCCTTACCAGAATTTCACATTGAAACTCGATTTTATTGCGCAACAAAAATTACTGAAATCAACTCCTAAGGAAGATATTAATATTTTTATTTCACATTGGTTACGAGGAATTTGATAGGCCCGCTCACAAGAAACTCAAAGCTCTACGTGAGTTAAATCGCGCATCACAACGGTCTCAGCGAGCCTCTCAATGGAGCAAAAGTTCATTTCCCACCATGTGTTGTTCAAACCGTAAGCAATTTGCTATAACTGAGCTAAAGCGTCAAAATTGTGGTTGCCAAATTTTTATATCGCAGAGATTGTCATTAGAACGTTTAGCGCGCGATGTGAATCACGTATAGCATTGAGTTTTCATGAGCGGGTGGTTTGAATTAACGCATCAAGAATCATTTAATTTCTTCGTAAGGAGTTGATTTCAGTCATTTTTGTTGTGCGCATCGTGTTCTACGTGAAATTTCGGTTAAGAAACCTGTATCAGAATGCTGAAATTCATACCTTGTCTAGTGGTCCATCATAAGCTTAGTTTGTTGTTTCTTAGGAGTCGCTAATCTGGATGGTTTTGCTTCTTCTTTTCCTGCAAGGTTGTAATTGACCCACATATGTACAGATATCTTATCATTACTTTTTGTTCCCAGATACGCACAATTGCCATCATTGCTGAGGGAATCCCTGAAAATCTCACTAGGAAATTAATATTATTGGCAAAAGAAAAGAATGTGTCCATCATTGGACCAGCAACAGTAGGAGGCCTGAAACCTGGCTGTTTCAAAATTGGAAACACTGGTGGTATGATGGACAACATCTTGCACTCAAAACTGTACCGGCCAGGAAGGTAAGCATTTCATAGTATGTAGTAATTTTAAAAATATCCTCCTCAAATATTATTCTCTACATGTGGAATAAATTTATTTTTGTAATTTTTGGAGTGACGAAAGATAGGGTTTCCATGAAACCGTTTTCTTAGCATGTGTTGAAAATTGAAGCAAATAAAAATTAATTGAAGTGCGATGAGCAGAAAAGAGTGCATATTAATTTTTCATAGCATTAAAATTCCAAATGCTCGGTGTTTTAAATGTCAAAATTGGCTATTTTTTGTGTAAATTAAAATGCCTTATAATCTCTTTTTCTTCTAGAGGAATTCAAAAATTTTGAGATGATTTTTCGTTTTCCATTCTTTCCGAAATTTGATTTTGAAATCAAAAGAAACTTCTACAAATCTAAAACCATTCATCTTTAAACATAACCAAACCCACAGTAAATTAAGAATCTTGATTCAATATGCAGGGTCTAATTGTTTGTCTTATCTTTCCCAGTGTTGCTTACGTCTCGAGGTCTGGAGGTATGTCCAACGAACTGAACAACATTATCTCTAAGGCAACTAATGGTGTGTACGAAGGTGTTGCTATCGGAGGTGATAGATACCCCGGAACTGTATTCATGGACCACATTATGAGATATCAGGCTGACCCAGAGGTTTGTATTTTATTCGCACATCTAGGAAAAGAGTATTTGAAGCAGGTGATTCTGAAAAGCCTACCCTAAAAGCGTAATACTGTTCCACTCGTGCACTTCATTTATCCATTCATCATTAATGAGCTGAAGGTTTATTGCTTTTCCGAAAGTATCCCTCACGACCTGCTCAGCTGCGGTAATGATGTGGCATGACACAGCCTCTTAGTTGGACTTCATTTTGCAATACAGAACTACATACATTTTCGGGCTCATTTGTAAAAACACTTGTGTGCATAGGGATACTAATGGCACATATGTTGTTTCTAAAGTGAATAAGAGATTGTAGTTCCTAATTGCAAAATAGAGTCCAGTTAGGTATAAATCTCTCTGTGCGCTACACAAATATTACTGAGATTGCTGTTCATTGCATGTGGTGGCACCACATTTGTCTCCTAGTGGCTTTACGAAGAGATTTAATCTGTAATGTTTCTCAAGTTTTCCGTGGAAATGAGTCTTCCTCTCACTGGTGGGTGGCTTAGATTTGCTTTAATTACGTTTATATTAAACAGTCATCAAATTAAATCTAGGCTTGCTACTGTGATGTCATTTTTTAAAACAAAGTGACAATGTTCGCAGAGAAATCTCGATGGAGCAGACAAAAGTGATCAGTATATCAAAGAAGTTGTAAAAGTAACGGTTGCCACATCAAGGTCCTCCTGTGATACTCAAGCGATAGTTTTTTTTCTTCGTAGCTCAAAAAATATTTCTCAGAATTAGACCTCAAAGGTTCAGTCCTACTTAATTTACATCTTATTGGATACTTTAAACCTCCCTGTCCGTAACCTATTTTTTTTTAACATGTATCAATAATTATTTACAGATCAAAATGATTGTTCTATTGGGAGAAGTTGGTGGTATTGAAGAATACGATGTCTGTCAAGCTTTGAAGGACAAGCGATTGACCAAACCCCTCATTGCTTGGTGTATCGGAACTTGTGCGGGTAAGATACACTTTTTAGTCTTTATGCATTGTTTCCATCATTTTGGAACCAAATTATCTTCTCCTTGAGCATATTGTCTCAAAACTCCTTTTGAGATCGTCAGCTATAGCTTGTTAATAACTTCCTTATTTGTTAGATGAAGATTTTTTCTAAAGGAAAAAATCTCTGAGAAAAATTTGATAGCTTAGAAATGGAAGCTTGTATGTACATACGTTTTGTCACTGTCGCGTATCATTGTCAGACTTGACAATCATTTTTCTTATACATGAAGAGTCCAACCCAAATGAGGTTGATGGAATGGCTTACAGAATGCAAGTAACTTGTTTTTTCAACAAAAGGTCTTTCAGTGGGAAATATACTTGAAAATGGACAACTTATCAAGAAATGTCTTCGGTTCCTCCAGGTATGTTCACCTCAGAAGTTCAATTTGGCCATGCCGGTTCTTGTGCTAACTCAGATAGGGAAACTGCGACTGCCAAGAATGCTGCCCTCAAGGCTTCAGGAGCCTTCGTACCAGAATCATTCGACAGTTTGGGCGAAACCATTAATGAAGTATATGTTTCACTCGTCAAGAACGGCACAATTGTTCCTCAGCCTGAGGTTCCTCCTCCAACTGTTCCTATGGATTACTCTTGGGCCAGAGTAAGTTTTAAAAAATCCATTTTCTGTTTTTCAAGAGTTTTTTGGATTCTAGAAAGATTTCTCAAACTGTAATAATCTTTTTTAATTTCAGGTTTTAATGCTTTATGACTGCATTTTGCAATTTTTACTTTAAATTTTTACGCAAATGCTGATTTCTTCTGATAATAAAAGAACAGTTATAGATTCTTTCTCATACAAAATGGTCAGAGGAATTAGAATGGTTTCCATTTGTCTTTGGATCTTTTAGTTTTAAAGTAAAAAGAGACAAGCACAATTCTTCCGATTTTCTCAATGTGGTCCTGTTATTTTGTGCTTCAAGTTGTCCTAATCTTAACTGTCCATCTTCTCTTTTCAACTACTAATAGTGAAAAGCCAATTAAGAATAATTGCAATATTAAGTTTTAGCCATTAGTTGAGTTTTTGGTTTTAACGGTTGCACCCCTGTTAATAAATACTGTTTGTCATTTATGTTCACAGGAATTAGGTCTAATTAGGAAACCAGCTTCGTTTATGACTAGTATATGTGATGAAAGAGGCCAAGAATTATTGTACGCTGGAATGCCCATCAGTGATGTAAGTGTCCTATTTTTTTCTAATTACTTCTCATCTTTTGCCCATGGTTAAATCATTGGTTTTTCATTTACCTATATTTTATATTCAAATTCAAATAGAATGTAATGCAATTCCAGCCAAACATCGAGCATTTTTCATTTTAGCTCCATCTCTTTCCGTAATTTCTCTGCGAATCAGTTGCGGAGGAGATTCAAGTATAATTAGATCTTTGTACCGTACTATTGAAAGGATGTGGATGTCTAAAATATTATTTTTCCCATGATCTCAGGTGAAATGATCTTCTAATCTTTGTTAGTTTCCTCTCATATGAGTACCTACTCTTTCAGTGTTTTGCCTTCCATCATGTTGCTTGCGAGTATCTATTCTTAAGTCTAACTTATTTTTGTGCTTTTTTCCAGGTATTGAAACAAAATATGGGAATTGGTGGAGTTATCTCTCTTCTGTGGTTCCAACGGTCTTTACCTGCATACGTTTGTAAATTCTTTGAAATGTGTCTAATGGTCACAGCCGATCACGGTCCTGCTGTATCTGGTGCTCATAATACCATCGTCTGTGCCAGAGCTGGAAAAGATCTAGTTTCCTCGCTCGTCTCAGGTTTACTCACAATTGTAAGTATGAAGTACTTTTTTCAGCAAAAATACTCACAAGAATCATACTGACAAATGATGGACAGAGTTGATGAGCTTGTTTCGTAATTTCCAATTCTTGCATTTTACCCTGAGCGGGCAAGCGGCAACCCGTGTCCCAACCAACCTTTTGAATGTCATCTTGCCTTTCTTGGTGATGCGCGTTTTAATGGGAGCTCAAATCACACAACTTTGAACTCATTCTGCGAGGCTTAATATTGTTTAAAAAAATCCGAGAAAATTCCTGAGAACTAAGTGCACTCTTTTTCCAAAGTGCAAGAATTAAAAATCATTGAACAAGCTCATTCAGTTTTTTTTTACTTCTGGCCTCTTAACAAATTGTAAAGATTTGAAATCAAGTGCATTAATATCTTTGTCAGCCAATAGCACTATCAGTTCTGAATGATCAAGATTTTCAACATCATATGCCATTTATGTGTATTAACGTTACATCTAACTCTTTAACTTATTTTGTGCTTAAAGTTAATTTGAAATGGCAGTGGTTGGACAAAATCAGTTAATTGAAATCCTTCTCTCAAAGAAGTATTTCATTCGACAAATCAGTTGCTAAGATATTTCTTCCACATTTGTTTTGTTTAGGAACTGGTTGAAGATTGGTTCATCTTATCAATGAGCACCATGTTATTCGGACAGTGTAATCAGTCCTGATCTGAAAGAGCTCACATAGTAGGGCTTGATTCAAAGTTCCGTCTCAAGAACTTGGCATTCTAGCTCTTGCTTCTCAGCTCCTGAAGATTGTGGATTGGAAGAAACATTCTTAAACACTACCCCTGGCCTTTTTTTTGGTCTCAAAAAGACAGTTTCAGATAGAGGTGTCGTCAGCCAAGTTGACGGTTGTTTACTCTTGGTTTGCAAGCGCCAACGACGAATTTGGGCCTCTGAACAAAGTGGCGTCAGCTACTATCCACACTGAAAACATCAGTCTCATGATCGTATCGTAAAAAAACTTATCAGTACTTATCAGTTATGATTTGCGACTTTTTTGTGGTTGTGATTTCTGTGTGGCTAAAAATTAAAGTATTACAAGGTTTGAAAGTATTTCAAAACTTATCTAAGCTTGCTTCTGAGAGAGTCAGATGTTTTCATGTGGATAGTAGTGACGCGAAAACGCCTGCAAACCGAAAGTAAACAACTGTCAACTTAGCTGACGACCCCTCTACATAATCCACAATCCTAAGAAACTGAAAACAATGCATACAATACTAATATATACTTGAAGACTGGATAAACCTGTGGTAAAGAAAAATCTTTGCACAATTCATCATTTAATTGATTGGGTTTTAATTTTTCCCGCTTCCTTTCCCTCCAGGGTGACAGATTTGGTGGTGCCCTAAATGAAGCTGCGAAACAGTTCACGGATGCCTACGATTCAGGACTCATCCCAATGGAATTCGTGAATACGATGAGGAAGAAGGGTCAGCTTATCATGGGTATTGGTCACAGAGTTAAATCGGTAAGCAATTAATCTCTATTTCTGCATTTCCCTTGGTGGCTATCCTCATTGTTGTAAATTTCATTAATAATTTTCCCTTTGCACAACATTCTAAGCCATATAATGAAGGTAAATCGCTGATTACAATCTAATATTGATATTGCGCTGATGTCATCGTGATTATAACTTACATGTCAGATAATTTCAAGGTATCGTCAAGTCGGTCAAACATACTCCAGGGAAATGTAGCGGATTGCAATTTGCAAATTATTTTTTGTTAAGTATGTGACCGATTTATAAGTTATTTCTTGCCCTCGCTCTTCTATCTATTAACAGTCGCAGCTTTCTCAATTTCTAGCATCTCCTACTTATAGGGCGCATTTGATTTTTTTATAGAAAGGAAAGGGTAAAAATATCTGGACTAAGTTACTTTAAGTTCATTTTTTTTTCTTACCCATTTGGTTTGCGTTTTTTTATTTTGTCTTTGTCTCTCCTCTTTGCAGATAAACAACCCTGACATGAGAGTAAAAATTATCAAAGAATTTGTATTAGAAAATTTTCCGGCCACTCCAATTCTCAATTACGCCTTAGAAGTGGAAAAAATTACAACATCTAAGAAACCAAACCTAATTTTAAACGTTGATGGCTGCATTGCTGTTGCATTCTGTGATTTACTAAGGCACAGCGGTAGTTTCACAAGGTAACTTTCGTTTCTCTCAATTAGTTTGGCTCTTAACTTATATTTCAGCTCAATGTAAACTTATTGCACCCAGCCTACTTTTTCAAAGTAAGGTGACATACACTGTGGTTAAATTTCTTTGACATCGCAGAGCAAGAAAAATAGTGATTGTCATTCGACTAACAGATGTCTCCAGAAGCCGGGAGGTTTTCCTTGCCATTTTTTGCTTTTGAATTTTACACTTTATTGGCCTTTTTGGGGATATCTAAATGTTCTGTAATGAAAGGGTAACCCTACAGGGCAACGATCCTTCAAGACTTTTCAAATTTGTATCAATGAGCCTCTATACAAGGTATGTATTATAGTACAACCCTGCATGTCTTCTCTTCAAAATTCTACAAGGAAAACGAATCACACAACGGGAAGTTTGAAAATCAACTCCCGAGTAAGATACAAGTGTTTTCTATTAACATTGATGAAAGGCAAAAATACAAATGACACTCATTTGTAAAATCAAACTTCCATTTGATCTGTGTTTATAAGACTTGTCGATATCCGTTCAAGTGTTGATTTTAAAACTTCCTGTTGTGTGAATTGTTTTCTGTGTAAGATTTTGAAGAGAAAACATGTGACGTTTTCTTCTGCTTTGGACCTTGCCTAGTGGCCCATTTTGGGGTAAATCAAACATACCTATCGAGTCAAGATTTTCTAAATTTTTGCATACCTCTCTGGGAAAAGTTTGGAATTTGCCTGAAAATTGATTCATTGGTCAACGCAAAATCTTGCAGAGTTGTTTGTACAATCTCTGGATTGCCACAGTCAAGGAATGCCGGGAAAAGTCAGGGAATTTTGAAAACTCAGGGACAACCTAGAAATGTCAGAGGAAATGACGAAAATCTCAGGAAAAAAATATTATGTAAATACCCTCTATTTGCATTGTAGAATGGATTTGACGTTTTGGACAACAAATTTTGCATGAACACTAATTCATACTATGTCTTTTCAGCCATCTGACATTTCCTCGAGTGTCATAGAATTTCGGGAAACGTCAGGGGATTTCATTTGTTTTATTCTGTGGCGATCCTGCAATTATTATCTTAGATGCCATTGAAAATTGCGATCTAATGCAATCCAAGGGCATTTTTTAATCTTCGCACTGTCATACTGGAGCAAGTCAACCAATCCTTAGCATCACAAATTTGATTTTCGAGAATCATTTTCTATTTCCTTCTTAAGATGTGATGAAGTTTTCTGACTACCCCCAAAGGATTTTCCATCTTTCTTTTTCTTCGAGAAACTTTACGATACACAGATCTTGTGATTCTGCAATATCGCCCTGACATCAAACAGTGGAAAGGTTCCAGTTTCTCGATTTTAGTGTACTAAGTGTGTACATAAAAGCAGCATTTAGCAGCGTAAAAACCAAAAATGTCATCTAAATGGACTATTTTCCGTCCGATTTTTTAAGAATGAATTAAGTCAATTATAGTAATTGTAGTAGTATTAAGTAATTCTGTTTTATCTTTTCAGGGAAGAGGCTCAAGAATACATAGATATGGGATCAATCAACGGTCTTTTCGTCTTGGGTAGAACCATCGGTTTTGTTGGTAAGTTTAAATCATCTTTCAGTTTATGGTAGTTCACAGAAAAGAGAACCACATTTCAATGGGTCATGTTCAAGGCACAAAATTGTCAGATAATAATGCAAATGTATGCTCTTTATTAGCACAGAAATGAACGAAACCATTTGCATTTTATTTTTTGGGATAACATATAGTGTTTTCTGTTAAAAATTTTAATTTTAATTTTTCAACCCTTTTTACCTGGGCCCTTCTTAGTAAGCTCTATTTTTCCAGCCATTACCTAATCCATTTGACAAAAATCACCAGCTGAAAGATCCGAATTTGAAAACTGAGGCTCAATTTTCCTTTTGACCGTTACATTTCTATTTCATCACCACATTCCTGTTTTAAACAGTATGATAAAGCAAGTGAAATGAAAATGGCTCTCTACAAAATTACCAAGCCATCAATTCAACACATATTACTTTTTGTAGTCTTCTTACTGAAATAATATTTATGCGTTCCCAAGTATTAAGTAGTCCTTTTATGAGTAATACGTTTTTAAAGTTTGAACCATCATTTAAATACAGTTTTTTGGTGGATTTTGGGGGCTCGTTGAGAAGCACTCCAGCTTCGCTTGAACTGTCCATTGCTGCAAACCATATCAAAATCTATGGTGGCCGTTTTGAGCCTTCTCTTATCAACTGGAATATATCGACGGTGTAAGTCGGCAATCACATAACTCGGTTTGCGACGTTGCAGACTTCCTGTTATACTTTATTTTTTAAACCGAAAACTACTCAACGTCAATTCTTTAAAACTGCAGTGATTTTTCTTCTCTGTGTGAAGAAAATTCTGCAAAAACTTCAAGGAATGATGTCAATTTGTTCTCCCTTAAAAAAATAACATAGAGGCCGAGATTTTCAGACACCGCAAACGAGTTATGTGATTGCCGACTTACACCGTCGATATGTAACAATCCAAGCTGTGATGTCTCTATTGTTGCAAGTCAATAACTACATCAAAATAGGGAACAAGTTGACTGCACCAAAGATCTTGATTCATATAATATTGCAATCAAAGAGATATGTAATTTTCTAAATTTTACAAAGTTAGGTATAATTTAAGGCTTTTCATGTTTACATTGCATTCTGAAACCGATTTTTATGAGCTGTTTTCAATGTATTTCACTCAGGGGTTTCTCATCGCCATGTCTGTACCAACAATTTTAAAAACAAATTATCTTGGTCGCAAGTACAGACAATTAAGATGTAAATATTTTTCTACATCAATCATGCATCAATATAGAAATACTGTTTCGTTTACCTCAAAGTTTAACAAAAATCTCTTGTTTTGTTTGTTAATTTCATTTTTCCTGGAAAGTCATGGAACATTCCTTACTTCTGCAAAATTAACCTATTTTTATTTGATGTGCAGGACATTTCATGGACCAGAAGCGATTGAAACAAGGACTGTACCGCCACCCATGGGACGACATCTCTTATGTATTACCTGAACAATACAATTAGAACCTAACCGCGGAGTTATTCGAAACTAAACAAACATTCCGTCGAGTTTTGCATTCTAGGGAGCTTTTTTTGTAAAATATTTTTTTATGTATTTAAGAGGAACACTTAAATTATTTATTATTGAAATTATTTTTTATTCAAATCTTAAAATTGTTTATAAGTTGCTTTGTAAAGGAATGAATACCATTAGGAGTTGATTCTTACCTGTTGATTTTTATATGTCTAAAAACTCAATCGTCTCTTTGTTTTTAAAGATCTTATTTTATGTGTTTTACTTTTCAGTTTGTTTGTGTAAGATTAAATTTTATAATACAACCGTAATACTATTTATTAAAAATAAGAGAATTTTTTTACTACTTGCCACTTTCCTCCAAGGTTTGGTTTTAGATTTCTTGCATTTTTCAAAAGCACAATACGCAGTTAAGAATTTTGGAGTGGTGAGACTGTGATCAACTAAAACACAGAAATATTAGGGACTAAGAGAATTGTCTTACATAATTTTAGTTTTAATGATTCATGTGATATTTTTCGTATTTTTCAAAAAAGAAAGAAAAAGTAAATAAATAAATAAATAAAAAAAAAACTGAATTTGAGTAAGAATTGATTGACTCATTATGCTCAAGTTTTGAGTGCAGTTAACGGTCTATAAATTTGGTTGATAAATGGACTGATCAATTGATATGTGAATTAAAATACGCCACGTCGATTGTGTGAAGTACATATATTTGAGCAAACAAATAAATATGGAGCTGTACATGTATGAACAGCCGATGTAAAATTTTTAAGTTTTGAGGAAATCGCATTCACATAGATAAGAGTTTCACTTTTTACCAAATTAGCGCAACTGACCCATTCATATTGGGCAAAAATGTACAGTTAATCATCAAGAACTGACAATTACAGTAATAAAAAGTAAGTTGTTTCATGCTGATATCTTTTATTTCCTTCTAGTTCCAAATGGTGAAGATAAAATTATATAATCAAAGATTAAAAGAACTGACATAGAAAATATTTCCCCAGAAGTTCCAGATTTGAGTAAGGGTAAATTAAAATGTTTTTTTACAGATTATTGAAGAGGGATACAAAATTACCCAAGTACATTAAATAATTCAACAGATTAATTAATTGAAGAATTTTTGAATTTCTTTTTTTAGGGGGAGGGAGGTGTTAAAGGGGTTCCAAGTTGAAATCTTCATTTTTTATACCTCGATATCTCCTGAGCAAAAAATATGTTGATACCTGGTTTGCCTGGGCTGAAAATTTTCTGAAATTGCGTACTTTAACTTTCTGGGAGAGATTTTCACTAGTCTCTGTTTTAAAGCCGTGCTTTAGCTTCCTTATTTTTCAAAAATATTTCATAACTTTTAAACCAATTTCAGACACGTATAAATGAACAGCAGTTTTTAAACTAGGCAAATGTAACATTTTTGAATTTTCCGTTGAAATATGTGTGGAAAATTGTGGTCATGCGTTCTGGAGCAACGAGCTCTTTGGAAGCTTAGAGAAAAGTAGTTAGTAATTCAATATTTAAGCCAAATACCTTTCTTTGCCTTCAACAGGATTTTCAATGTAGATACCAGGAAAAAAGAAATAAATAATTATGAAAAAGATATGATAAATGCATTAGAAACATCATATAAATAATGATTTATTAGAAAAGAACCAACATTTATTAGTTCCGAACGGATAAGTTTTCTGAAGGAAGTACTAATTGGATTGCTTTTTCCGAAAAGGAACCAAGAGGTTACCATTATTGCTAAGGTTGTACAATTACATTCCTTGTAATAAAACATAGAGTACATAGAGTCTTAATGTGAGTGGGTGAGCTGGCGCCACTTTTAAGCATTTTCCAGGTCCCAAATTCCGAGACCCCTGTGTGACGCCGGGTTACTTTTTCGATACATAATCGATTGTTTGCGATACACGGGTACTCGGCCATCCAATGTAAACAAACTGGATAGGAATCACCACGTATTTCACTCCGCCATTTTGGATCGAACATGTATCGAAAAAGTGACCCAAACTCGGCGCACAATGGACTCGGAACTCGTCGAGCAGAACATGGCGCCAGCTCTCCCATTTACATTACGACTCTATGTACTCTATGTAATAAAATTACTGGAATCATGCAGAAAATTAAAATCAGGGCAATTTTCGTCTTGAATTTACAGCTCATTGGGAATAGAGATAAAAAGTGTTTATATGATCAGTTCATATTTGCAAGGTAAAAAAAGTTACACAATCTTAGCGCCATTGGAATGCTCTTGGTTCCTTTTTGCAAAATGCGATCCAATTAGTCCTCCTCAAATACAAAGATAACATCTACTCTCCTAGTATTTATGTGGTTATCTGAAGAAGTTAAAAAATTCATTCAGTTATTAGTTTCTGTAATTGAGAGGCACCTTGGTAACCTACGGGACGAAGAGGGTCACCATTTTCGACAGGAATCATCTTCCACCACGACATTTTCGGTTTAAGTACCAGGAACGGAGAAAGCAGCAAAAATTGGCAGTGAGAATTGTTTCTTAACGATGCACCCTTGATTAAAATGGACAAGTACGGTGGAAAAGTTTGGTTAACAGGGTTGACTCTTGTGATCTTGTAGTTTTTTTCTTATTATGTTACTAAAATATTAACAAAATGGAATGAAATTAAGAGTGTAGTGCATTAAAATACACGGAATTAGATATACTTAGTTACATGTTTCCATCATTGCAGTGATTCATGGAAACTTATTCTTGAAAAAATACTGACTTCTAACGTGTATCAAAAAATAGAAACGATATTTTATGGAACTGGAAAAACTGACTGCTTTCTCCTCAATTCAAAAATTAACAAGAAGAATATTTTTAACTGTCTCGCTGAAAAGGTGAGTATCAGATATTCTTTGTCGGTACTATACTGACGAATATAATATTTTCTGTTGGTACTGCCACGGTGAATATCATTTCTGCTGTCGGTACTGTACTGACGAATAACATCATCCCTCTTTTAACAGTAAATATAGATTACTGAGCATCGTGAAAATTTATTTTTTAATTTATGCTTAGCTCCAGACAAACGACTATCTTTTTCTTTAATTAAAGTTGTTGACGTTTATCAGTGTCATGATATAAAGTTAGATTTCAATTTTGATTAGGCAGTAAGAGCTTGCAGGAAAGAGGAGTGAAAAAAATGGTGATAAGTCAAGTAATTAAAATTTTTTAAATTTTACTTACTCACTTGCGACATAATTTGTATTGGGCGATACATTTCGAGCGGACAGCTTTTCATCGGTGCGACTGATGTGACATGGACTAATGGACATCAGTCGCACTGATGATGAACCGTCCGAACGTGTCTGCCCAATAAAAATTATGTCCCAGAAAGGTAAACAAATTTTAAAATTTTTTAATTACTTGACTACAGCTTGCACATGAAAGCTCCTGCAAGTAATAAAACTGGTAATAAGTATTAAAATAAATGGTAAAAGTATATTGAAAGTTATACAGATAAATTTTGTATTTCCTCTTTGAAAACGATCGCCATGTGAGATTCAAAATTTCCTTAAAGTATATTACAGTACAAAATATTGCTTCTTCCATTTACAAAGTACGAGGCTTCAAACATTAAATGTACTCTTCATTGACTTAAAATAAACCACAAAACTTTTTTTTGTAATATTTTTTCAGAGGGATTAAAATGTTAAGAATATTATCATGGAAAAGAGTAACAAAAAGGGGGGAAGGTGGGGTCACAGGAAACAATTAGACCTTCACCATGCAACATCTTGCTGAAAGACATAAAGACAGTGAAACTACAGAAATGCAGAAACTCATTGGCAATATTTTGAAACCTCCTCTCCCATTGTATTTCATCGAAGAGGAACTAATGACCATAACTATTATTTGAATTTTTCACCGAGTATTTTTCATATTGGACATAAAGATCAGGGAAGCTAGTTTCCAAGAAATGACGTCCAGCATTTTTCCATTTCTAAAATAATTTGGAAATCTACCATGTCCCAAACCAAGATGAGCATTCCTACAGTTTCACCGTCGACATATCAAATAGTTGCTTAACTTTACGGGTGTGACACATGATCTACCATCTTCATTCCTTCGTTTAGTTTCAATGTAGGAATTGGGATGATCTGTCGTCACTCTAATAACTGGCTGACCAAAAAATTCAGTATTAGCTCTAACAGTCGAATGCTCTAACTTGCACCAAGATTAAAAAAATGTGCATGCACTTTCCAATTATGCTAACCTAATGGAATAAGATCAGATCTGCTAGAAGTAATTAAATTATTTTTTTACTCTAAAAAATTTGATTGCAATAATCTACATACATTAAGACTAGTTCTTTCCTTCATCTTGCCTCGGATATTTTCATTACAACTCCTCGAAATACGGTACTTGAGGCGTGTTAGTCAGCGAACATTGTCAGCATGGCCATCCGTCAAAGGACCTTGAATACATTCCGTGTAACAATTGTTATTCTATCGCCGAGTGAAGTTAAATTTGGTCGCCAACCTACATGGCGAACTTATAAAAATGAAGTGCTGCGCCTTCAAAACTTAATAAATACAAAACTAATAATAAGTTTAAAATGGGGAAATAATGATCTAATGGGCCCATTACAATTGAAAATGGAAGCCTGATCTGACAAAATAAAAATATTTTCTGCCATTTAATTGGATTAAGAGTAAAAATAGGAATGAAGGGCCCGAGTGTACAGCAGTCAGGAATGATAAAAACAAAGAGAGAGAGTGTGATAAATGTATCTGTAAAACAAAGAAGTAACAATAAAAAAATAAAAATTTCTTCTCAAATGCAACAGGCTAGCTGGAAAAACTACATATGTATCAGACTTCTGACACAATTCTTATGATGAGTTAACAAGATTAGCGCTATGACCCAAAAAATAAAGTAAGATTACCTATAACTACAAATGATGTCATAAAGTATTTACATACATACAATTAATAATACTTTGATACAAGCAGAAAACAAGACTAATAATCCGTAAATCGGAGGTCATCATGATGCCAAGAAGATGTACGGAGTTGACGAATGAACAATCATTGCTAAGTCCTTTTTTGGAAGCCTTCATTGATGAGCGTGATGCTTAGCTTGAAATATAAAACCATAAAGAACACCAATTTGAAGATTTTTAAGTTCAAACTAGCAGCAACACATTTATCACAGCCAACCTCCTTTCGATTGAAATTTGTTACAGTCACAGGAAAAGGGCGAAAAGGAAAGTATAGTAAGGTGACACCTCATAATGACTTCTGATTTCTTACATAGTTCTTTCAGAAAATGATTGGACTGCATTTTACAAATAGGAACAAAAAGTTCCAGTTCATACATGAAAGAACTATCTGCACAGGGAAACTAATGGCGCATGTGTTGTCTCTAAATTAAGCCAGAAAATGTGTTTCCTAATTGCAAAGTGTAGTCTGCTTAAATACATTTACATAATTTGTATCCTCAAATATCAAATCATGTTGAAGGAGGGGTCATTTTCTCATCTTGCAGACCTCAAGATATGCTCAGTCATGCTTAAAAATAAAACAATGAACTAACAATACATGTCTCCACCTGCTTTTATAAAAATAATGTAAGGATTTTGATCTTGATAATGAGAGACATTTTACTCGGAAAACATAGAAAACTGTAAAAATTGTTACAATCTTATTTAAAATGCTAGAGAATTTTGCCAATAAAGTATAAAATCAAAAAGAAATGAGAAAAAAACAATACATACATCCAAAGTTAAATTATATCATTAAAGAACACACGGGAGAACACAGAAATTTTAGCAAGAGAATTGTGATAAAGGCACATGAAGAGTTCCTTTGCAAAGGCACATGGGAATAATTACAGTTTTGCGGTCAATTGAAATACATAGAATTACATAATATGACACAGTAGACAGTCTTGGGCATGATGCAAAGAACAAAACATACGTAATAGATGTTCCGTGGGCGGTTAAAACTTCAATGGCATTTCATACTTCATCAAGTCTCCCCTATTTATAAAAAGTCTTTGCATTGAGTCCACGCCAGGTAAGTTTACGCAACTTTGGACTGTGGCAGAAGATTGTCTGACGTCAGTTTGGCATTAGAGGTAAATGCAAGGCTCAGGATCTTCTGTTGCAGTCTAAAAGTGCATAAACTTTACCCACAACGTGTAATATAGACTCTAAAATATTGCCTAATCATACAGTTTTCCGCAGAAGAGTGTTGGAATCAGAATCTAGGCTTAGCTAAATATCATAATTTCTAGCACATTCAAGTTGACGACGATGAGGATGCAAAAACAGTCTCTTCATTTTAAGTAAACCTTTTTTGGTTCAAAGGAGTTTTTTTTTTTCTTTTTAATGTTTGGAGTGTATTTCCTTTCGTTTTTCATCATCATGGATATAATACACTTGAAATTACTTTGACATGGTTGGAAAAGAACTAATTAAAAAAAAAAAAAAAAGATAAGAGAGCAAATACAGAACATTTAACAAAAATCAGTACAGTTGAACCTTGGTTAACAAGGAGGAGTATTATCTGGCCCAATTTTCTCAAGTTTTTTCACAAAATTTACGTCAATTTCCAAGCATCCAAATTCCACAAAATTCCTCCAAGAGGCCCAATTAAGTTTTGAGTGGCTTGGCAAACGTCTCCAATAAGTTTAGCTCTAATTCAACTATGTTCAGTAAAACTATGGCCTGTTTGGGAATCCTACGGAGTTAAAATAGCAACTACTTTGACTATCCAGATATTTCCTTGCTCTATGCAATTAAAAAAAATTTAAGGAGAGGAAAATAAAATAAAACTATTTCAAATCCAGATGATGATTTCTCCAAGACATATACGTAATTAAATTGTTCTGGTTTTTTGAACACCACAAACATTTGAAAAATGAACTTGGAAAAAGACTTATATATAGATGATTCAATGATGCGGAACAATTTAGAATCACATGAACAAAGGTTTCAGACCATGGTCCGAGTAATGAGCAGTCAAGTGAACAAATTTGTTCATACGGCTATTGTTACCTACGTCAGAGGGGTGAGTATTACTTAAAACAAGGGAATGTTCTTTGAATTTACTTCTGGAGAACATCAAGTGATGAAACTTCGGTCCCAATACCTAAAAGGAAAAAACAAGGAAATGCAGGATTAATAGGATGCAGATGCTAAGATGACCCAGCTGTAAAAAATTAACACGTTCACACCTTGATTGAAAAAATAGAAATAAAAGGATGAACGCAACAAAAATAGCAAGACGACTAGATCTCCTATTCATACGAGAGCCTATAACATACAAATTAGATTTATTTTCTCAACCGAAATTCCGTTGCTAAGCTCACACCCTGATTATAAAAGTTGCAAAACGCGTACCTTTATTTTTGACGGGGCACATTTCCTGCCACATTTTATTTCTTCGAAAGAAAATTGATGGAACGACCAATATTTTTAGGAATTTTCAAGATTTTTCTTCATCTAATACAAAATCTTCTGTGAATATCTAACAAGTAAGTTCATTGATTTTTCTTTGAAATAATCAAACAACAGCAAAGATTTGGAAAAAACGCAATCAAGATACATGCAACAGGTACATTTTTTGAGATTTGCAATGAGCATGGATTTTTGGTAAAAAGAACTTACAACAGTAGCCGTGGAGCCTATCCATAGATTGCTAATTATTTATCACTTGCAGCTTAGAATTAAATTAATGATGTTCTATTGCTACTGTTAAATTGAGTGCATCAATTTATAATGTTTCACTGAGAAATCAAAAAATTGAAAAACTGGTTTTCATGGTTGGAAAGAGCTGAAAAGAGACTAATAATGAACATTAACCTTTCTATCAAACATTTCTAATGCAACAGGCTTTTGGACAAGGTCTAAACTAGAAAAAAGCATTGCATATTTATCTTCAAAATTTTATGCAGAAAACAAATCACCGAACGAGAACTTTGGAAATCAACTCTTAAGGGAGATATTAATAAGTATTAACAACGCAGATCAAATGGAAGTTGAACTATAGAAATGACGTCATTTGTATTTGACCAATGATTGATTGTAAACACTTAATCCTGTTTAAAAGTTGATTTTAAGACTTCCTGTTGTGTGATTCCGTTTCCTCATAAAATTTTAAAGAGAAATATGTAATTTTGCGTAGTGCTTTAATTCATACCTTGGATAGAGTCTCATTCTACTCCTTCACCCTAAATATGATACTCAAAAACCAACCGTGAGTATCCAAATTATCCCTAATAATTGAATCGGTTCGTGCGAAAACGGCTAATGTCCATTATTCCGATCTTGAGATTTTTTGGGTTGATAATACTTTTCAGAGTTACATGCATCCATAAAAGTGGTGTTGATACTCGATTTAGGGATGTTTCAATCCCAAAAAGAGTATTTGCAGCGATTTTAGGATTGTATCAACTCTTGAAAAGTATTATCAACCTGAAAAAACTCAATGCTGGAAAAATGGACATTAGCGGTTTTCCCACGACACGATTCAATTGCTGTTGGGATTATTCTGATAGCTCAAAATCAGCAAGTGAAAGAAAAATACTCACCACAAATATTACCGCCGATTGCAAGATAAGCATATCCATTATCACCAAAATATGGGCCCCACGAGTTTCTGATGATGTAGTGCGGAATAGCGGCAGTGGTATCGTACCCAACGATTTGTACAGCATGATTGATATTTTGCAGCGCTCCATCACAATGATATTGGATGACTCCACCAATATAATACTGCCATGGAAGTGCATTCACAGCAGCTATCACAGGTCCATGAAAGGCAAGGAGCTCCAGAATGTTTGACTCACTTCCGACAAAACTGGTGGAATAAAAAATAAAAGAAGAGATCAGATTTCCAGTGCGGAGAAAAAAAAGAAAATTTTCAAATTGTAAGCCCCAAATGAAGAACAGTATTACCGACTTAAATGACTTGGCGCTGTCGTTAATCTGACCTAAATCTGAAAAAAAAAAAGCTGGAAGTATTTTTGCCCCATGTGAACTTTTACCCCCACTTACCATAACTAGCAGCATATTTCCTCCTTTAAAAATTCAAAGTATAGAGAAAATAGTTTGAATGTGAAAAAAGTGTTTAACTGTAACTCCAGCACTGAGTTTTACTTCTTCTCTTTTTCTTCTACTAAAAACTAGGGTATGACCCTGCTTGTCAAGCTCTTGAGTACAAAGCAAATATTAATCATTAATAAATGTAAAAGATTCATCAGGTAAATAAATAAAAAAAAAAAAACAGCAATACCAAAATTCAATTATCTTCAGGAGAAGAAAGTCAGTTCTGCAGCCTGATTGTTGAAATTTATTATTTGTTGGGACGACATAGATGACATAGGTTAAAAGGCGAGGGTAATTGGTCGGCTACGTCTTATCGCTGCCTTGTCATGCTTCTGTCAGGTGGAGTGGACGACATACTGCCGGAAACTTAAGAGATGCCGTTAGCTTGTCATGAATTCAAGCTGACATAGGCACGGCAAAGCAGCGATAAGACATAGCCAACCAATCACGCTCCGTCTTTTAACCTATGTCATCTATATCATCCCGACAAACAAAAAATTTCAACAATCAGGCTGCTGTTCCCACTGCCCATCTCTTGGGCAGTCTTTCAAGTAATCTTTTCCCTATTGGTTGTCTGTTCAAGCAAATCTTCAATAGTCTCTCTGAATACAGAGTAATAAAACTTCAAACCTTGTTTTTAGGGCTGATCTTGATGAGACTTGGTTCCTCCCTATTAAACTCTGTCCATTTAACAGCAAGAGACTTGATGACTAAGATACAGGAACTATAATTTGGCTTACATGCCAACAGCATTATTGAGGGTTCATAAATAATATAATCCAGAAGGAGACTTGTGTTATTCTCTTTTATACATTTTAACCTATGTGTCCATAAAATGGAAAATTTGCAAGTGTCTAAAACTTGATTAATTTTACTCATAAATTGCAACTACTGAGGCAACTGTGTAAAAGAATGAGAACATCCTTGATTTCTAAAGTGAACAATAATTGGAGGATTTCTGACGGAATGAGTGAATTTTCGAATATAAATGTGTTAAGATGAGAAATAATGGCTTATGATGGCGCAAGGCAGTAAATTTTCTTACTCGAAAATCTATTCTTCTTAAATTTCCCCTATCAGAAGTAATTTTTTTATAGAATACTGTAAATTCAGCTTATCAAGCACTTTCATACAAAGCAATGAAATTTTCTCTGCAAATTATCAAATATTGAATGGACTGGTTAAAACATTTTATTTACTTCCCAAGAGATAATTTAGCAAAATTCAGCAGGTTTAAAATTATTAACGATAATAAGTATCGTTAAAAACCAAAATAAAATTTACGCTAAAGCAGCAATTGTACGGAAAGCAATAAAGCACTTGTCGAGTAAGAGAGACAAAAATCATAAGATAGGAAGCTTAAGAAAGAACTTACTTATCACAAGTGTAGTTATCAGCTACTTCTATCCCTCCTTCAAACCTAAAAAAATATTGATTTTAATTAATACAAAGTTGGAAGCTTATTATTCATGCTTGTGTGTTGTTGACAGGCTGTTTGTTTCCTCAAGCTCTAGACTATTTTCTGAACTTCTAGAATTTGAATCTATTGCTATATGTATACACTTGATTTAATGATGGAGTAGAAATTATCATGATTAGATGCACAAGTGCAACTGTAAACCTTACACACCTGTACCTACCGATTGATTGCAAGAGCTCTATGTTACGCTTAATTCAGCGTGCCATGCGTCAACGGCTCACTATTAATGCTTTCTTAACGTGTGCTTTTGAACATTTCTACTGCATTTAATTGTGCTACCACTGTAAGATGGATGGAAAAATGGTACTGCACATAAAGCAATGGGACGAATAATCGAAAAATAGAAAATTTAAGTCTATAACTGAAATATTCAGAAGGAATTTTTCAACATTTCCAGTTTTTTTTTTTTTTTTTTTTTTTTTTTTTTTTTTTTTTAAAAAAAAATCTTCAGCATACAAGCAGAAAAGTTTCAACTTTCAGCATACAAGAATAACAAATTAGACCTACCCATACCCATTGAGTCGACAAACTTCATCTTTCAAAACTAAGGGATAATCTTTTTCTAGTTTGACTGGAACATGGTTCATGACAAGCCACTTAAGTAAACTACATGTGTCTCCACCATTGCATCCTGCATTCCCATTGCCGGCACAATCCACCACCTACAAAAAAAAATCAATAAATTTTGATCATAAAACAAAAGCAATGTACTTGAAACCTACTCAGAACTTCCTTGAAGCCGGTTTCAATTATTACTACCACAGCATTATAATAAATTTATCAGCATATAAAAACGCATGAAATGCCAATGCTTCGATACCAATTCTAAACCAAGCAATGAATTGGCCAGAAGTTACTTAGGATAAAGCAGGGGTTCAATATTTCTTGTACCCATCCAGGGTTGGTAAAATTTGTTGTGAATAAAGGCAGTGTCTATTGTGACATGTTGCTGGTTATCTTCTTAAAAAAATTCAATTCCAGGAGGAATTTTTCAATATCAAGCTGCTCATCTATTTCCATTAATGACTTAAACACAAGTACAATTATAAGAGTAATTTATACTCATTAACATTTGTCCATGCCCAGACTTCCAGACTCACCCAATACTCCTAAAATTTCCATCCAAAGAATTTTAGACAGTTATTTGTGAATGCACTATTGACTTGTTAGCCAAAAATATTTCACTTTGTGAAAATTGTTTGAGTGGTTTCAAAAAATGCCAAATACCAATGTGAGGTGTACTAAAATGTTAAAAATTGAAGAAGGCAGTTCGTAAGGATAAAAAACTAAATTTCTTGATTTTCATGGCACTTACTTCTTGTACACTAAGTTCCTTGAAAGAACCATTTGTCATGGCATACATAGACTCTACTGTTTCAATCGTGCTGAATGCCCAACAAGCACCACAAGTCTTCTGATCCCGTACTTTGCCGATAATGCCTGTATCTCGCCTTGTAAAAGAAAACAACAAGCAAATTAGAGAAACAGTACATAATAAAAAGAATAGAGAATTAATTAAAACATTTATTTAATAAAAATCAAAAAGATAAATACTACTGTGCTAACTTGTTACAAAATAACAAAACATTACTTGGTGTTTTGAACCTTCCAAATTAAGTCATAAAGTGGCTTGTTTTTGCATTTTTTTCGACTTTCAAAGACAAGGAGGGAAAACCAGTGCTCACAACCATCTTCATGGGGGACGTTATTTATTTATTTAAAAAAATCTAATGTTTGAGGGTCCTACAATGGCACCCGCTTTCTGTGCATACCTAGCATTAATGTCAATTTACCTACTTGGTACATTTTTCAGTTTTGTGAAAGTATGGCATAGTTGCAAATTTTTCGGGCATTCAAAAAGAACAAAGATAAAATTTGTGCTGCAGACATGAAATAATGAATCTTTTGGGTTAATAGGAGGAAGTTTCCTTCAGGTGGAATGCTCAGGAAATTTCAACATCTTTGGTTTATGGATGTATTTTTATTTCTTTTTAACCTATCATAAAAAATTTCGTCTCTCATGTTTAACCTTTGCAACTTGAGAATGGACTGGTAAAGGGTTTTTCTATGCATATTAATGTGCACCTGTGAGGGTTAAGCAAATGGACTGTCTACAGAGTTTACATTTAGTTGTGTTTTGATTATGCAAAGAACGTAATAAACAGCCCTCCATTGATAATCTGCATCGGAAATAAGAAAACAATATTCAGTATGGTATCCTACCAGTCTTTTTTGGGTGGTATTGCTGGAGAGACATCTCGCTTCCTAACATGATTGTGATGCTCATGATGATTTCTGTGCTTGTAGTGATGACGATCTTTTTCTTTCTTTTCGCCACTAGTGTCTTCTTCCAACTTTCGATGCTTAAGTCTTTTGCCCAGTTTTCGAAGCAGTCGTCTTGACAAGAACTCATCTCCTGAGATATCCGAGAACTCCGTCAAACCATACAAGGCACTTTCATTTGAGTCGCGGCCTTTGTTTAAATCTTCAATTGTTTTAAGGGCCGTCTGAAAAAGGGAAAAAAAAGGTAGTCAGAGTGAATAATCTTATTCAGTAATCAGTTATGCATTAAGACCAACTTGTGGTTTCTCAGTACTTGACTGTGAATTTCTCTATCAAGTCCTAATTTTTACTAAATCATAACTTACAAGGAAAAAATCTAAAATTATCAATCCGAGACATTGCTTTGGAAGATTATATAATAAGCTATGCTTGAGCCAAATCAATCTGGGTTAATCAGCAGGCTGAATCGGAAATTTAACAGTTATTCCGCCGATAAATCATCAGGAATTGGCGGTGCTATGGCATTGAAAGCTACTCAAGCTCCGTCCGAAGCCTGGAGCTTGGGTAGCTTTGGGATGTCAGCTAGGATGTCCTGACCTATCTATCAATTACATTCAACCGCAAAAACCCGTTGGCAAAGGCTTGATTCCATCAGTAACACATCAATGGAGAACACTTCAGGTCACTCCACTGAATGTTAGGTAATCACGAACAAGAATGGTTAAAAACCACAGATGCTACATGACTATTGTTATCAATGACATCATCAACAGCTATTCTCAATATACAATTATAGTAGGAAATGCTATTCTCAACTTGGTGCAGCGATGCACAGATTACAATAAAATTATTCATCTTCAATGATTTGCAGAACATTCTGCGTGTGGTGCTAGCCGATGCTTCACATGAGGAATGAGCCAAGCCAACACCACAATAATCGATGTAAGTAAGCAGTAAAGGAGACTCTTAAAATTCCAAGAATGACAACTGAAGGTGTTTCTAGAGTACCATTCTAAAAAAGTTTCGTCAAAAGCTTTTAAAATCATTTCTGTGGTTTCGTTATGTTAGGGCAAGGCAAAATAACGTGTTATGTAACCAACCTGAAATGTTCTAAAACGGACCTCGTACTCGCTCTCATTGAGCTTGTACGGCTTGTTGAATTTGTGGACGTAACTATGAAACAGGAGTCTCTGTTCTTTTTCAGCAGGGCTTGGAGAGTTGATGTTCATTGGAATTCCAAAAAAACATAGCATAATAAATCCCGCTGCGGATAAAACGGACTTCCAATCTGCCATATTCACGGTCACATGCAATTCACTTCACTGATATGATAAAAACATAAACAAAGCAAGCACGCAAAAGCTCAGATCCCGCATTTTGAAAATGAACCACGATTGACCAATCAGAATGCCACGTATAATTCCAATTCCAGCCATTTAGAATTGGGAACATATGGAAGAGGATTTGATTTGATTTGTTTTGTTTTTGTTGACTAAAAAGTTGAAAGTGCCGGGCGGAACTGCCATCGTGTCTAATTTTATCTACCATTTACATCTTGTATATTTAATTTCATGTGCACATAGAATTAATTATAAATTTCCAAAATGTCTGATCAAAACGTATTAGACAAATCTCTAAGATCTGTTTTCGGTAAGTTTTTCTTTCATTTTGAAGGTTAGAACGGAGTGATTGCGCCTGAATCAATCGTCTTTTATTTTCATACCTACCAACAACCCATTTTGCTTTTAAGTGACCATTGACTATGAATTCACACCTATGTAACCATTATTTCACACTCTTTCCTTGTCAAGCCTGTCGGAGCTTCGAACGCACTTATGGAGGCGAGATCTGCTGAATACATCTTCGCTCTGAAATGTAGCTTCCAAATTGAAGAAGCGCATTTTCTGTTTCACTCTTTCATAAAAAAGGGCAAAAGCATTTTACTAGAGGCTGTTAGATAATATTTCATTAATAGCCGAACGTATTTTACATTCGTCATTGCAACGAGAAGAGATATAAAATCGAATGATCGCAGAAGCCTCGCAGCCCTGGGGAAGTTTGACTAATGTTGCAAGACTACAAATTGGGGTCTACAAAATCGCCCCTCCTATCTTACTTTCAAAGTATTTGATTAAGAATCAATCAATGTCGTCATTTTTCCCAGAGTGTACAATGTGCCCAGTTTCCTTTTTCTGGGAAAAATAAATTCCACACCCATCTCACTCCAGATCAACCTTCATGAAGAACTATCATAACCAAGAAGTATCTATGATGGTGTAGTGGTGGAATCAATCCAATTCATCTCCTCGTAGATATGTGGTCAACTTTACTTGAAATGAAGTTAATTGTGCTTGATTTTTTCAGTGGGAAACATTCCTTATGAAGCAACGGAAGAAAGATTGAAAGAAATTTTTAGCGAAGTTGGGCCAGTTCTTTCATTCAAGTGAGTATTTTTCTACTATCACTTACCATGCTAATTAATTTGTCATCATATTAGTTCTCATTGTAGGATGCAGAAGCAATATCAATAATAAATTGATAACTTGGGTTCCGATCAATGAGGCATTCACAATAATTTTTTTGTATAATAGAAACAAACTTCTCTATCCATATTTTAATTCCTCCATCTACCTAGTAAGAAAAAATACATCCATTGCTGCCAGACACCTCTTTTAGTTTGGCTTTAATGGAATGAGGTCATATAAAGCAATCAGTCTGACAAGATTACCTACCCAACACTCGGATTCACACATAGCCTCATCAAAATTTTGGCAGTATTTAATCAAGTGGAGGCTGTGGTTTTTGAATAACCGCTGTGATTACCTCATGATGAACATGGACCAGGCTCTTACTGCTATTTTTTTACTCTACATTCCTTGTTCTGTGTTTATTGTTATGTTTTATGCAATCCTCTGTTGCTTCCATGTTTTCAGGTTAGTCTATGATAGAGAAACAGGGAAACCTAAAGGTTATGGCTTTTGTGAATACAAAGATCAAGAGACTGCCCTAAGTGCTATGCGGAACTTGAATGGCTGTGAAATCAGCGGAAGGAGCTTACGAGTAGACAATGCTTGTACAGAAAAGTCTCGTTTGGAAATGCAGTGTCAGTATTTTGTATTTATCTACTTATTATTTACCTTTTATCCTAAGCATATTGACTCAAAAGAGCATAACCATACGCTATATTTTCATGATCATACAATTTCTTATTCATGCCACAGACAGCCAATTGAAAAAGGTTTTGCTGCTCTTCTGTACGCTTATAGTATTATTGTACTTTGGTATCCTATTAGTCAGTTTTTGCTCCATTCTCTTACAATATGACTAAGACCTCATATCCTTGAAATTAATTCTAGGGCTGCAAAAGAGCTCTGTTGGTTTTTAGTCGNTAGTTAAAGCAACCAAACTGTGTCAGAAATGTTCCCAAATTACTAGGTAAGGCTTTTATCAGCTCATCATCTGATCCAATAATTTTAATTGTGGCATTTCATTCGGCATGTCGCCGCACGACTTCTATGATACTCGAAGTCTCACATATATAATTTGAAAGGGGGGGTCTGGGGGGGCGGCGCCCCCTCAGCAGGTAGCTTTTGCTACTTGTTTTTTACACATATTCACAACAATTGTTTAACTGCATATTTGTTATCTTATCAGGAAGGACACTGATCCTCTTTCAGAAAAAATTACTTTCTCAGTAGATAATAACAAACTGTACTTAGAGTCGTCACACTGAGCTTGTTGCTACATAATTTTGCTCAATGCTCTCAGTTGATTACAGAAATGACTCCTTTACACTAGGTGCATCATCAGCATGGAATGGAAGAATTTGCCAATAGGATATTATGAGCCGCGGTGTAGTTAACACTTTTTCTTGTCAATGAATCAAAAGTAGATTTTACTGTTGACTTCCATGTTAGTGAATTTGTAAACCACATAATTATTTTGAGTCCCTATTGAACTTTTTACCTGGCTATGCTTAAATTTCATCATGACCACTTTCTTCACCAATGTTTACAGCTCTCATGGCTGGACCTCAATCTGAAAGTCAATATGGTGAGCCTGTAAGTGCTGAAAAAGCCCCTGAGGCTATTAGCAAGGCTGTTGCCTCCTTACCACCAGAACAGATGTTTGAGTTAATGAAGCAAATGAAACTATGTGTCCAGGTAAGATAAGTATTAAAAATTTTTCTTTATAATTTTACCAATTTGCTCTATGATCCTTTCCCCCTTATTAAAAATAATTAAATGACCTTAATGAGATTTTTACATGGATACAGAATGATTGATTAATTGATCGGAAAATTGGTGTCCTAGGGGGTCTTGTGTGAAATCCCTCTAGAAATATGATGCTCAACAGGGTGCGCGAAAAATAGGTGCATCTCTACTCACTCTCTGTTGAATCGATAATTTTTGTAAAACTGAAAGCTTCATAGAGTGTTGAAAATATTATCATAGCTCGTAAAAACAAATAGATGATGTACCGATAAGAAGCATGCAGATGAGCCAAGATCTTTCCAGAAAATTTTGGTATGTCAGACTTACAAATAATACTTTAATTTAGTTCAGATAAAATCGCAATACATTTTATTCTTTAAAGTTTTATCTTTATTTCATAGACTTCTTTAATTTGACATCCCCTCCTCTTTACCTGTAAAAATGTTTGGCTCATAATTTTTATTTCATCTTTTAGAACAATCCTGCCGAAGCGCGGACTATGCTTCTACAGAACCCTCAGTTGGCATATGCTCTCTTACAAGCTCAAGTTGTAATGCGGATAGTGGATGCGCAGGTTGCTGTGGTAAGTTCTGTTCAAAATGATTCTTTCATTTGTTTAATTTTACCGATGATCTAATTTTGCCCCCTTAACGTATTCCAAGTTTTGAAAAAAAAATACCTTCAATCTTTCTTAATTGCGTTGAAGGCCCTCTAAGGTAAATACATCTATCAAAGATAATTGTCTTCAGGCAGAATATCGAAAGTTTTGATGTTTGTTACTCTGTTGTAGTGGGCAAGAAGATACCAAGACCATTTGCATCTACAATTGTAATGATCCCAATATCTAGAACCCTTTTATTTACAAAGAACCATTCCATGTACCCTCATCATTGGAAAATGTTGCCGAGACAAAGTCAAAGCAAAGCTAGTCTCAACACAATTGGTTACAAAAAAAAAAAAAAAAAAAAAAAAAAAAAAAAAAAAAAAAAAAATTGTCTCCAATTTGATTTGGAAGATTACATCTGTATAAATTTCATGCAAGGCTCATGATTCAAGTTGTGAGCACATCTGTCAAATCAGTATTAGGATAAAGAAGAAGAAAATAAACACCATAGTTTATGCAACTTGTCTTTGGTTCTGTGTGGTCCTTGAAAAGTAGAATGCTTCTTAGATATTCATGTGCACTCTTAATTTCCATCTTTTTGGCATTATGATGAAATATAAAACCGCAGTCAACTCATTTTTCAACACCAAATTGCTTTTGGTATAATGTTTGGAAATTCTTTGTCCAAGGCCAAATTAGGAGTCTGAGAGTTGCATTAGAAGTCACTTAGCACTGACTGTAGATGTTGAAAATAAGTAAGACGTCTTTAAAATTATAATTCTAATCGGTAATGATGTATTTTTCTTTTAGTCGATGTTACATGCTGCAAATCCTCCAGTGACACCTCTGCAGATTCCATCACAACCGGCTCCACCCTTACCAGGACGACCTGCTGACCATGTCAATGACCAATGGACCCAACCTCAACCTGGATCGCGTCCTGGACAGCTTCCCCCTCCCCCTGCTTTTATGTGTAAGTGCTCACCTTGTAATTATCCGGCAGTTTGATGTGCTTTTTTGTGATCATCACATCAGATAACTTGAGTTCAGTATAACTTATTAACATTTTGAAAGGCGACATTTTTGGCGATCAAGCAAAAAAGTGTGTATCACTGATTGCAATCTTACAAGTTTGTGCTCATATTTTATTTTTTAAGAAAATTAATGAGAATTTTTTTTTTTTTTGGTAAAAAGATCAGTGGCACCCATTTTTTTTTTTAAAATTCATTTTGGGAAGTATGGAGTGAACCAAGCTTCTAGTGAATTTGTTCAAACCCTAAATGGCCAAGAAACCCAGTTTTGAGAATGTCAAAAATGGAACTAATTTTAAACGATTTTTAGTGGGCTCTGATGACAAAGCCAAGCGGGGAAAACAATGCTTGCTGATTGGCTGATTTCAGCTTCAGGCTTCTTCTTGTTCAACTCGACTGTTGGCTTTTGATTGGTCTGATTTTAAATAGCTTTATCTCCTTTTAGAAGTGCTTTTTTGAAATTTTTAATGAACCTTTTGATTTTTTCACAAAATTTTACATAGTAAAAACTACACTATAACCGTGTGTGAATTCCTTGCCTCTGCCCCATTATGTAAGGATCTTTTATGCATTGAGTATTATTCACAGACAATTTCAAATAATGCTTCTATGTGTGCATTTACTGCATGAACTGTTCATATAAAAGTAGCCTTGTCAGGCTAGTTTGATCTTCTTAACTAAAACGCAAATGTGCATGCCTAATTAGGTAGATGAAACATGTCTCACATTCGTAATTCTCTTTTTTCAGCTCAAGATTTAGATTTACGGACAATGGATCCCAGAAACCGTTCAGGAAATTCTGCAGACCAAGACCTCAGGATGCCACCAAGCATGTCAGGTTACCCGCCAGCAAATGAGTAAGTCAACTCTCCTAAATGCTGTGAATACATGAATGAATTATAGTTTTCTGATTTTTCAGTAATTTTAAACAGTAATTTCTCCCAGCTTACAGAGTAAAGAATAATAAAAACAAAAACAATGAAATTATAAATTGATTCTGTGGTTAGGCCGTATCAAGCATGTCACCAAGGGTGATTTCATTGGACTTGAAGTATGAGAGGCTTAACGATAGCTAAATGCAAAAAATGCATATCAAAATTGCAACATTCAATAATCTCCAATTATGTTATATATTTTTTTTTGAGGATAACTATTCAAAATGATTCCTTGCGATTTTTTGTGGTATATTTAGAATAAGTGAAGGAAGTGTACAGAGAATTTCAATAGAAATTGTCGGTCAGCCATCCTTTAAAACAGTAAAACAAGAGTGGAGACTTGCAATGGCGCAATCTGAGCGATGCATTTTCAATCTAAGCCCTTGCTATGGTTGAACTAGAAATATTTTGCATCCTTTCTATTTATTTGATGGCGAAAGGAGAAACTAAAAATGTGGATACGGTTCAACTTATACTAAACCATTACTCCAATAAAATCTTGTTTATAATTTTTTCCCTTTAGGTGCTGTTTCCGTCTAAAAATTTGTAACGGAAGCGCAAGTAAATGAGAATTGAAAAGCACCGTTGTCTGTAGTGAAAATAATTTCCATAAGAATCGTTATTATTTTTTCAAATTTGTTTAATATATTTATCATTTTTTTTTTCATTTACTCACAGGTATCCACCGCGTATGCCAGCTCAGAGACCTGCCATGCCAGAACCTATTCCTCCACCTCCTTCAGCACCTCCTGAACGATTCCCACGTGACCCGAGAGATCCAAGAGCAAGTATGTGTTTTCTATTTTATATATCTATCTTGTTTTCAATAACCTCTATCGATTATAGCTAAATCTCTGCAAGCTAAAACTGTACGACCTCAGCCAGTTACAAAATTTGATTGAAAGAAAAAAACATTTAGGACATAATTTCTTCAGACCAAAGAATGAATTACATTCTTAACTAGAGGTAAACGTGGTTAGTCTACTAGTGTAAGAAAAAAAGAAGTTTCACGAGTTGAAATTAGGTAAATAAGTTAATCTGAGGAACCAAAACATCGAAAGCCTTTCATAGACTTTTTTGTAACTTTTAGTAAGTCCTGAAAGCTCTATTTATTTGCCCTTTTGACTAAATCCATTTTAACAGCTTATATTTGAAGTTTCCTAATTTCTTGTCTGATCCAGTCACAAAATATGAAGTCAAAATGAATACTGAAGCTTCATTCATTTTGATACTTAGTTTATTCTGAGCATTCACATAGGCAAACTCTCATTGTCACTTTGTTTTCCATCAATAATTGCCATTTTTTTGCTCTTCAATTTAAGTAGGTGTCCAATTAACTTAGATCATAAATATCTTATCGCGTTATTCGAACTCAGTCATTAAAATGATTCCTATTTGGTGTTTCAGTGGCTTCTACAAACGCAACTAATGTTGGACCAGTGCCAGCCCCTGCAAGGCCTCCTGTCCCACCGGCAGCATCTTCTGCTAGTCAAGCTCCTCCCAGAGCTGTGCCTCCTCCAGCTGCCTCAAATCCGGATAGTGAAAAGGTATGCTTTCTCTTACTTTCTTATTCTTTTAAATTTGTTTTTATTATGGGTGTCTAGACCGGGAGAATGCAGGATTGAAAACCTTGTAGGAGGATCAGCAGAGTGTCTAGCATCAGGATTTTCCTGATTCTAACAGGATTTGAGGTTAATCAGAATTGAATCCCGATTTTATCAGGATTTGAGAAAAAATCGATCGTAAAATCAGGATTTGAGAAAAGTCGGCTGTCCGATCGGATTTTTTCATGCTTTCGCATCCGCTCATGCAGAAATTTTGATTTTTCTCCGCAAAGAATCAGGATTTGATCAGGATTTAGCGGTAAAAAATTGAGAATTGCATCAGGATTTCCCGAAATGAAAAAAAAAANAAAAAAAAAAAAAAAAAAAAAAAAAAAAAAAAAAAAAAAAAACCTAGACACCCTGATCAGGGAATCTTCCAGAAACCAGGAATCTCTTCCCTGTTACTGTACCTGAGTCGCCATTATTGACCTCTCGAACCTTCAAATCATCAGAATAATAGAGCATCTTTCTTTGACCAGGTTATGTAAACATCAGGAACGCTTTTGGAATTTGTGCGTTAAAGAGTCGGAGGGAAGATGAAAACAAATTTTTATTCATAATAATATGTATTTGGAACTCAGAAGAGTTATACCCGCTTTCCCCAAGTAAATCCCGGCAAAGTGGGCGAAAATTTCGATCCTTCATTGGGAATGAGCTCATGAAAATCAGGATAAAATCAGGGAATGAGTATGGTCAAAGATTCTAGACACCATGGCTTTCTCCTACATTCTCATTAGCATTGAATTTGTTTTGATAACCAAGTATTCAAAGGACTCTAACACAAGAATATAAAGAGTCTGATACTATAAATGTAACGATCAGTTGTAACTATGAATTCCAAATTGATCGCTGAAGATGCCAACTATTTCCTCTAGTACTAGGTAACTAAGTATAACGTTTGAAACCAAATTTTGTATCAAATTCAAAAATAAACAAATCAACATCATTTCCAAAGAAGAAAACATTAATTTTAAGCTGCATGAATATTATATCATGAAAAAAAAAGCTTGAAAGTGTATAGTTACAAGAAAGTATGAAAGCTACAATGGCTATCAATTATTTTTGGATCAGCTATCAAGATTTTGCTTTACAATACTTTCAGCTGGAGATGTGATTTATTTAAGTTGATTTCAAATGATTCTTGATAATTTATTTGAAAACGCCTATCAAACTCTCCAAATTGAAATGAAACGATGGCCCCTTACCATGAATTTTAACTCATTGCTCACAGCCTTTAAGTTTTTGAACTCATACTAATTCTTGGATGATTTTTTCTTTTCTAGACTGCGTTGATCATGCAAGTATTACAGTTAACCAATGAACAGATTGCTATGTTACCTCCTGAGCAACGACAGAGTATCTTAGTCTTGAAGGAACAAATCGCAAAAAGCACACAACAGCGTTAATTGAGCTCGAGTTTTCTTCTTAGGCATATAATTATTCCATCTAAAAATTCAATTTGAATCTTGTAAATATATTTTGTTTTTATTTTTACATCTAGTTCATACAGAGGCTGTATGTTTCATAAATAAATTCAGTTGCACTAACTTTGTGGATCCGTCTAACTAATTTGTCTCCAGTCTCTATTTTAATGTAACTTTATAATTTAAGACTGGTAAAATGTAATAGAAACATTTCCAAGTTCTTAAACTCCTAACATTCATATCAAGATATGTAAAATGATATGTTGCCAACTCAGGTTAGACCAAGAATAGGAGTTTTTCTTTAAAAAATAGCTTTATGATGGACGCCACGGTGAAGTCTAAAACTCATTCTTTCTGTACAAAAATATGTAAATGTTTCAGCGGAACCGTCCGGTAAGGATTGAATTTTAGGCATTGCCAATGCTTTCATCTTCAAGCCATATTTCTCGAGTCGACACTCACGCTTTCACTTTAGCCACGGTTTCTGGCAGACCTCTTGACCCTCTCCGGGGAAAGAAGTCATCAGACTGAGAGTTTGGGCAGAATTGACATCAGTTAGGAGTTTAGAAATCTTAATAAATAAATTAATTTTAAGCTGATTTCGAGAACTAGAGCATTTTTGACCAATTCGGATTTCTTGACTCATTTTAAAGGGTACTAACTTCATTTCAGCCCGATTGAAGAACTTTCGATTTTGACCCCAAAACATTAGTCCATGTAACCCCTGCTGATTTTTCTCGATTTTGGATAGGGAAAAAAAAATTCAAATAAATTAGGTACTTAGGTTTCATTTTAATCATCTTCAACATACATTTACACAAATAGAAAAATAATTTTTACCTGGGTTTAAAAATTAAATTTTTCAGTGAAAACCCTTTTTCCTCAGCTTACTCTTCAATAATTTTTTCTTCTTCTCTTTCTTCTTCAACAAGTTCTTTTTATGAATTTTCTGGGATAAGCTGAGTTCTTTCTTCTTTTTCTTCTTGGAGTCTTGTGATTTTTCCCCACTCTTCTTGTCCTTGCCATCACCTTGGTCCTTCATTTGCTTTGCAATCTTTTTCTTCCTCCATTGTGGTAAATGAGCAGGAATGTGTTTCGATTCATCATCTTCTCCTTTTTTCTCTTCATCATAGTCATCCTCTAATTTATGTTGCTTTGACTTCTTTGATTTCTTTGACTTGCCCGTTTTCTCTTCCGTTGTTGGAGGCTCTGGTCTTTTCCTTGCTTTGGGAGCAGTTATGAAGAATTCTGAAATAAAAAAAAAAAAAAAATTGTCATTATTTTTCCCCCGAAAGAAAACGTTCATGGTGTAAATACACAATGCATATCCATGGCCAAAAAGCGAGATCTTGTATCTCTTGCATACAATGCAAAACATTTTTTTCTTTTTTTTATGTGTTTTTTTTTTCTTGACGTTTATTACAAAAGATACAAGAGGAACATATCAATAGTGTAACTACTAGACCAAGCATCTCCTTTGCAGTCGCTAAGAATCTTCGCACCTATTTCATTTTTTTTGGAGGAGAACAAATCAGTGTACACAATTCCTTGATGTTTTCACAAAGTTTCTGTTGCACAGAGAAGAAAAATCACAGAAGTTTTTAAGAATGATGGTGAGCAGTTTTCCATTGAAAATCGAGATACATGGTCTGGTAGTTTCACCTTTGATCTACAAAAGAAATGATGTCTCCAAATAGTGCTCATACAATTATGATTATTCTGGGGAATTAGGCTGATATTTTGACACATTTCTTTTTCATTATGCAATTATAAGTGTATCAAAAATTCTTGAATTGTCGAGAAATATTTCAGGGTCTTATATTTTATGAAATTTTGGCATCCAGCTTGCTATTTGTAGGAATATACGTCAGCAATCAAATAAATTGATCGTTTAATTTAAGATGGGATTACATGAAAATCCTGTTATGCCTTCATACAGTATAACCTCGATTCATTGGTTTTCAGGGGACTGACAATTCAATCCATTAATTTGAATTACTTGAGATCTTTGAAGGGATCGGAAGATTGAACTGTTAAATCCCCATCCGATAAATTAAGGTCTTACTGCAAACATATTTTTCACATATTATGGATGGTTCCATTTTTTCCCTATTTTTTGTGCAACATTAAAACTTTTGCCAATACCTTCTCCTGGTTCTTCACCAACTTCCTTGCGGAACCATTCAATTGCATCTTCCACATCTTCCTCGTCATCGCCATCCCTCTTCCCCTTTGTTCCTTCTTCTTGCGGCACTTCTTCATAATCACTTTCCTCTTCCGATTGAGGACCCTCTGTTGGTTTGCTTTCTTCACCCTCTTCGGTGCTCTGCGATTTAAATTTGTTTTTCACGCCTTCCAGAGATTTTTTATCCATTAGTTCTTTGAGAGCTTTCTTCTTTAAAACATGGGCCTCTTGTTCTGCTCTTCTTCTGGCTTTCAACTCCCTAGGGAAGAAAAAACAACTAAAATTAAAACATCTAGGTAACACAGTTTTCTAATATCAATATTGACGGGTCAATGGCACCCATTTATTTGAAATTCATCTTTTCGAAGCATACAGAGTGAATTGAGGTAAATCGATTC